ATAACAGATCTAAGTATAAGAGATCATACTTTTCCTTCTAAATACATCAAGCATGTGGTCGAATAGTCCATCATGTAGGTACTCATAGAACCATACCATTGGTATCTTTTGTTGTTGATAAAATAAGCTATTGTACTTCGTGGTAGATATTTCAGACCTGAATATGTAACTCATTTACTAGATCATCTCCATCTTTTTGTTGCTCAGCAACCACTTCAAGCATCAAGTTCCACATTAGTTGGTTGCAACGTGACTGCATTCTCAATTTCAAATTGTAACAATCCAAATCATTCTTCAAATTATGCAGTGGCCCTGAATCCTCGCCACTATCCCAGAAAATCGTAATTTTCCACCTGCCGTGTGATACTGTGACTGTCTGGACACTGAAAGCTAGGGTAACATATTCTTTATCATAATCAGAGTGTACTGCAGAGAGATATGAATTGTGACTCCCTGTTAATATAATAATTCCCACTGCTCAGGCTAAATCCGGACTTCATGTTCCACGTTTTTAACACCCGTTTCGTATTACAGTCGATAAGAACCCCTAATCGCACCCAAACTGGCCTTCTCCATTCTTCTGTTTTGCGCGCCATTCAGCTCTACATATTTGACACCCTCGTGTTTTTGTCGATTGATCTGTTATATATAATAGCAATTTTTCCCGTAGGTACCCGTGATTATATTTGATCTGATGTTGGTCAGATCATCGCATTGGGCCATACTAAATTACTAAATTATTAAATTACTAAATTTATACTCCATAGGACGGCATAACACATTATCACAGCGTTACTTTGATGGTAGGTACGTGTCTTACTCGATCTGATACCATTGTGGATGAACTCTAGGTTAATTCTTGCTCTGATTGAATCCTTCAGTCTAGTCATTTCCAGACAGTCAGTAATATCTCCCGTGGTTGAAGGATTGAGGTTCATATTATAACTATATAATATATATTTCATACTGATAGTGGCTCCACCTTTCCTGATATAAATCGAGCATGCGTCAAATGGCGAGCGTATAAAGGGTTCCCATACTTTAAGTTATACAATTTATTTCTTATAATTTGACTTATAATTATATTCAGTCGAGTTTGATGCTCAGAATTACGGATATCTTTGACGCGTTAAATCATACATACAATTTCATTGCTAAACCTTAAGAATATGATTTTTGAATTTCCATTCTATTTTTGACCATTTATACTGCATATTTTATGGTTAACATCACAACGAAATTGATTGTACAGTGAATGTAATTTTCGCCAAAATCTGGCGATTATTTACCCACCTTCCACCTTGAAAGATATTTCACTAAGGGTATACAAAAGATTGATGGTTTAAACTTTGATTAGTAATAGTTAGTTAGTTAAACTTAATAAGTTGCAAGGAGCAGTAACTTATATGGAGACGAAAGCCCTGTCTCAATCGTAACTACCCTGAGCTGGTAGTTCAGTGGTCAAACAAGTGGTTTACTTACTTATAGTTAATAAGTTATGTAGTAATTAGTACTCGAATCAACCATATATAATCAATAATCATATATATCTACCATATATAAGCCGACGACATTAGCATTAGATTAGTCGCCTCCACTCGAGCTTCATCGCTGATAAATTTGCTAAGTATCGTTTTATTTTTAGTAACAATTTTCTACTTGAGTACTTGGTAGATAAACTTTTGTTATTCTTTGATTCTTTACAGCTGGACACCCATCAAACTAAGCAGTCCGGGAGACTCTATGGCGTCAGGGGTTTCGGGCCGCAAAAAATTAGAGTATAGGGTTAGGTTAAGAAAAAATGTTTATGCCCAAATTCTAATCTTAACCCAAACCCAAACTTTAATTTTCAGAGATTCACGCCCTAAAACCCGAACTCTAGAATCCGGACCCCCTTATAATCGAAATTCTATTTATGAACCTGAAATATTCAAGATATAAAATTGGAAGAGTGATTTGTAACTAAATGCAGTTAATACCCAATTAATAGCAGACTGGCGCAGGCTTTAATTTTAAATTTCCTGATCTAATTTTAGATTTCTTAATCTCCTTAACAAATTATTCTTTTAAAGTGCTCGTTTCCTTTGGAATGCCTTGTCTTTAAAAATCCGGGAAATTTGTTCCTTGGAAAGTATAACATATTCATGATATTGTTCCATACAAAATTAAAAGACCACAATATATGTATATGCCCCCTGAATAGTAAACATCGTATGAATACTTTTATATCATTATTATAATTCGAAAAATTATTTCTGTCTGTATGAATGTACAGGGTGGCCCATAAGTGACTACCCACACGCAACCTCTTAATAACTCACGTAATTCGTCTCCAAATTGCACCAAAATTTCAGAGATTATAGATATGGGTCAAACTTAGATTTCCTGAAAGTTTCGTAAGCCACGCCCAATTACAGTGGGCGTGGCGTGACACTCCCTCTTTTTCACTATTGTCTTCATAAAATGAGAACGCTTTAAGCTAAGAACTCAAAATTTTTTGCACACATTTGGCTTGATAATTGAAAACTTTTCCAAAAGTTTCAAGTTCATTGGTTAAAATATGGCTAAGTTATGACCATTTCAAAACTCATCGGATACGTGATCCGAGCACTCAGTCAGTGATCTCGTCACTTGGTTAATGGCCTGTTTGGCTCACATGCACCGCTTGATTGGTTGCAGCCTGCTTATGGGCCGGCCTATACAGCTGACTGCACCTAAAACGCTATCACACGAATTTATGGTGGTGTCACCATTTCAGGGCTTGTTAGCCCTGCTAGTCACAGGTTCCTTACAATCAATAAAAAGGAATGAACCATCCATTGAATCATCGAAAATGGTTCACTATCCTCCCTTTACTGCAGAACAACGATTGTTCGCCTACCTGAAGAAAGAAAATGGGGAGTTCTACCCTCAGATTAAACGACAATTTCAGATGAAATTCAACCGACCACCCCCTTGCCGGAAAAGCTGCTTTGACATTCATCACAAGATCAAGTTTACGTTTTCTGCACACGATCGGCCAAGAGTCGGCAGAAGACGAACTGCGAGGACTGTAGAAAACATCACGATGGTTGTTGGTGACGTGATGGACACACCTAAGATTGGCACCCGGAAACGAGCTCCTGCCTTAGACATCAGCAGAACCCTTCAGCGAATCCTAAAGCAAGACCTTTCTAACCGGGCCTACCGAATCACAAAGAAACACAAACTTTTGGACCGTGATTTCCAATCGAGGATAGATTTCGCCAACACATTCCTGTCCAAGCAGAATGTGGATCCCTACTTTGAGGACGAAATCTGGTACAGCGACAAGGCCATATAAACGGATATGTCAACTCCCAGAATGCAATTCACTGGGGCTCTACTAGACCGGATGAAGTGGTGGAGAGAACGGCTTTTCCTGAAAAGGTCACGATCTGGTTTTTATCCTAAAAATTTGTGTTTCCCTTTCTAGCAAAGTCATCATCGGTATCCAATCAAAGCCTAATGAACCTCATTAATACACGCTAACGCCTTACTCTTGATCAGATTGGGTGACGAGATCACTAATTGAGTGCAAATATCACTGACTGAGTGCTCGGATCACATATCCGATAGATTTTAAAATGTTCATAACTCAGCCATATTTAAACCAATGAACTTGAAACTTTTGGAAAAGTTTTCAATTATCAAGCCAAATGTGTGCAAAAAATTTTGAGTTCTTAGCTTAAAGCATTCTCATTTTATGAAGACAATAGTGAAAAAGAGGGAGTGTCACGCCACGCCCACTGTAATTGAGCGTGGCTTACGAAACTTTCAGGAAATCTAAGTTTGACCCATATCTATAATCTCTGAAATTTTGGTGCAATTTGGAGACGAATTACGTGAGTTATTAAGAGGTTGCGTGTGGGTAGTCACTTATGGGCCACCCTGTATGTATGTACGACCGCCCACGTGCAAATTAGATGAGAAATAGGAAGTTGCATAATGCATAGTTACCATGGTAACGAGGATTGTTACACGCACACGCACGTGCAAAGATTTGTGAGCGCCATTTTCGGTTTTGTGGTAATTTATACGTTGTGTTCAGTGCGAGCTACATTTCATCGGATATATATTCGGTTGTGCGACGGGTATTTTTTGATGTGATAAAGACCGACTACCAACAAATACTACTAGCTTCCTCCCTGTGACCACAGGCTTTCTAGTATATTTATAAAAGTTAAAACATAATTCAAATAGCGGTCAAATTTAGTAATTTCACTCACAAGCCCATATGTGGTGAATTTATTTTCATCGTTAGGCTATGATACTACTTGATAACTACCTAATAACTAGGTAGTTAAGCCGACTCGAATTTTTAATTTTTCATTGAAATCTCCTAATTTGACTGTAAACTTTTACTTTGATTGTCTTTGGGATCATCACTTGTAGGCTCTGCTGAATCTACGACTTCGTTTTGGCCTCCAGTCAATTATTACAGGATATATTAGTCCTTTCCATTTTGAAAGTTCGTTATAAGCATTTATATCTAATAGTTATTGTTTAGATTCCTGTAAGAGGTGAAAAGTTTCGGCTTCAAAAATTAAGAGATGTTTAGACAATTATTCAGCATTCAATGGTACGACCATTAAAGGCACATATAATTCGGTAATCTGTTGATACACGGTTGTGGCATAGTTGTGGCACGGACTCTGCCCCGACTGATACTTGGTTTGTGCCCTGGCTGTGCCCGACCGTATTCCATCCGTGCCCAACTGCATGTACCGACAGATTTCATAGTTCTCCTAACAAACGATAGTACCAGCTAACAGCTTGACATTCTAGTTGTACCTTACTTTTTAGATAAGACCATTATCTAACATATCCGATTTTCAAATTACTGTGTAAATCTGTACCACGTGGCACCCGGCCAGTACCAGTCAGAAAAGGTACAGTGTCATGTAATGCCACTCGTCAGGTTATTAGGTCATTTTGCCTTGAACTCTTGGAGATAAACAATAATCTTGACAAAGCTTTCCGTGTCAATACCTCGATGGTATTTACTTTTAGCCTCTTTCTTCTCACTTTTACCTTGATTTAGAACAAGATAGGAAAGTAAGCTGATACTTGATATGAGGTGGTAACGTGGGATCCTGCTCTTCGTTGGTGATGGTGAACAGCGCTGCCATGGGCGATAAAGATCGCCGGATTACCCAGCTTTCGGAGGAAGTAAGGCGGATGAAGTCAGAAGATCAGCTAAAGTCGGAGCAAATCAGACTTCTTTTGACCAAGTAAGAATTTTCTGAAGCCATGTAATCTAGACTAATTCGTTTATGTAATTTTGCAACACAATTTAATTAAACATCTCTATACTTCTGGAATGAAACAGACGTTTATAAATAAATTACAACAATATAATTAAATTAAGGATCGTACATGTCTATAAAATACATGTCAACGAGCTTATTACTTCTATTCCTACGAAATATGCTTTCTAATGAGGTCTGATCGTCATCTTTTCACAGCGTTCGATGTCTGTGTGAAGGTAAATGACATCCTGTGGATCATTTACAGCATTACCTTAGTGTACAACCTTACAAAAACTACTACAAAAATATGCTTTCTCTAGATTGTCTGTACTATAATAGCCATATTGATATGTCTGGAAAATTTGAAGAAAATCGTATATAGGAATAGGATCTGTAAAAAACACACCTGCGTTCCGCTGCGAACCACCGATTTGGAGATATTTTCTATTTTCTTGTGTTTGAAGTAATATTTTAAATTTTGCACATAGAAATTCGCCCAAAACTTGCACAGATTAACAGTCCTATAGCCATATTACTATCAGGAAAGTTTCAAGAAAATCCTATAGTAGTATCTCGAAATAATCGACTTTCATCAAATATTGTTGTAGGATCTCGACTTTCATCAAATATTGTTCCGCGGAATAAATGGAACGGAAAGTCCAACTGGATTTTGAAAACGTGATCTTTATTTATTATTTCATTACTGGGAGTGCGAGCATGAGACGACTTAATGAGAGGACAAAAACTGGTAAAATTGACCATCGCCAACTATATAATATAGATCATTAGTCATCTTTTAGGCATGGTGAAACAACGTACATTATGCTTCAAAACAGGTATGTATCATGTTTTAATTGGGGTTTTCACATATAACTGATGAGATATAATTCAAACTGATGAGAATAATGAGATATAATTCAAACCTGTATAAATCGACTCTTTTATGGAACAGTGAACACCATTATTTAAGCTCTTCTGCTAGTCATACCATTATATACAGAGAGACAAATTGAAACGATGGGTTAAGTCAAACAATTGTTTCAATTGTTTGATTTAACCCGTCGTTCCAATTTGTATCTAGCTCTCGGCTTGCCGATTGAGCACTGCATCAGCATATGACGCCGCCCACAACTATATACAGAAACATATCAGGAACTGTTCATAATTTTGTCTGCTCACAATTAGGGCTGTTCATTGTATTTGTTGCCAATTGTTTTATTTTGTTGCCGGGTAGGAAGACAAAGAAAGGGGAACAACTTCACCTCTGAAGGACAATCAATCTATGTGTAAAAATACAGTATTAAATACTGCACTTGCAGGCGTGTCGTCATAGGTTTGACTTTTGTTGTTTGATCTTAACACTACATCGACAATCGTTGTTCGATTAAATCGTTTTTTTTGTTTTGCTTTTAAAAAATAATTAAATAAAACCAACACAATGGCGTAACGACCACCCCCGATACCCCACTATGCGGAGGGGGGGGGGACTTAAAAGAAAAAACGTTGGATAGGTGTTTAATTATCCGGTCCACTAACGTTCAGTCGACGGGGCGGTCGTTACACCACTGAACTAACTAGTCGAGTAGTGACTTAGATCCAGATGGACTGTGTGTGGGCATGTTTTAAGATTCCAGAGGAACAGCACCCTCCATGTCAAGGCAGTGTCACTGACTTACTTAGTAGATGGAAGAGGCACGAAGACTATAAGAGGTCAGCATCAGATAAAATCATTCAAGTTTTATGACAGTTCCGACAGTTCTAACAACCAATTTTTATTTGTCAACATTTTGATAGATTTCCGAAAATTTGCTTCCGTTACTAAAGTCAAAGAACAAATGGTGTCTAATAGGGAGTCATGGTAACGGTATCTAATATGGGGGTTATGGTAACGGTATTCAATATGGGGGTCATGGTAACGGTATCTAATATGGGGGTCAGGGTAACGGTATCTAATATGGAGGTCATGGTAACGGTATTTAATATGAGGGTCATGGTAACGGTATTTAATATGGGGGTCATGGTAACGATATCTAATATGGGGTCATGGTAACGGTATCTAATATGGGAGTCATGGTAACGGTATCTAATATGGGGGTCATGGTAACGGTATTTAATATGGGGGTCATAGTAACGGTATCTAATATGGAGGTCATGGTAACGGTATCTAATATGGGGGTCATGGTAACGGTATTTAATATGGGGGTCATGGTAACGGTATTTAATATGGGGGTCATGATAACGGTATTTAATATGGGGGTCATGGTAACGGTATTTAATATGGGGGTCATGGTAACGGTATCTAATATGGAGGTCATGGTAGCGGTATCTAATATGGGGGTCATGGTAACGGTATTTAATATGGGGGTCATGGTAACGGTATCTAATATGGGGGTCATGGTAACGGTATCTAATATGGGGGTCATGGTAACGGTATCTAATATGGGGGTCATGGTAACGGTATTTAATATGGGGAAGGGTAACGGTATCTAATATGGGGGTCATGGTAACGGTATCTAATATGGGGGTCATGGTAACGGTATTTAATATGGGGGTTATGGTAACGGTATCTAATATGGAGGTCATGGTAACGGTATCTAATATGGGGGTCATGGTAACGGTATTTAATATGGGGGTCATGGTAACGGTATCTAATATGGGGGTTATGGTAACGGTATCTAATATGGGGGTCATAGTAACGGTATCTAATATGGGGGTTATGGTAACGGTATTTAATATGGGGAAGGGTAACGGTATTTAATATGGGAGTCATGGTAACGGTATCTAATATGGGGGTCATGGTAACGGTATTTAATATGGGGGTCATGGTAACGATATCTAATATGGAGGTCATGGTAACGGTATTTAATATGGGGGTCATGGTAACGGTATTTAATATGGGGGTCATGGTAACGGTATTTAATATGAGGGTCATGGTAACAGTATCTAATATGGGGGTCATGGTAACGGTATTTAATATGGGGGTCATGGTAACGGTATCTAATATGGGGGTCATGGTAACGGTATCTAATATGGGAGTCATGGTAACGGTATCTAATATGGAGGTCATGGTAACGGTATTGAATATGGGGGTCATGGTAACGCTATCTAATATGGGGGTCATGGTAACGGTATCTAATATGGGAGTCATGGTAACAGTATCTAATACGGGGGTCATGGTAACGGTATTTAATATGGGGGTCATGGTAACGGTATTTAATATGGGGGTCATGGTAACGGTATTTAATATGGGGGTCATGGTACCAGTATCTAATATGGGGGTCATGGTAACTTCCAAAAATCGTAATCCACCATAAACACCTTCCATTCCAAGTAAAGAAATGTTTTACAGAAAATGTATTGTCTTTCACTTCTTGAGATCGTATTACAGGCAGATCTACACAGTACGCAGCCAACAGTGTGCACGATTATAAAGTCAGAAATCCAATTTATACAATTACATGCTATTATTGATTGTTGGGTGATTAAAGCCCCTGTATCAATATTACATCATCATTTATCAGGAATAAGAGGCTCCAAGAGCAGTTGGATAAATCAAAAGCAAAAGTAGCGGAGCTAAATATAGCGGGAGTAGCAGTGGCGGGAGGAGGAGGAGGAGGAGGGGGAGGAGGAGGAGGAGGGGTGAGTCTGAATACTATTAGTGAAGAGACGGGAGGAGATGGGGATAAGACAGAGAAGAAATTACCTCGTGAGTTAAAACATAGCTGTCAAATTGTACTGACACACTATATTAATTATGATTTAAATCGGAGTTATGTATACACATTGATAGTTTGTCTTTCGTGAACTGATAAACTTTTTGGGATGTTATATTATGATAGATTGAAGTTTTAAATAGCTTGTTTCTCAGCTGCGTCCAACAACAACAACAATGCCAGCACGCGACAGAGGGCCCAGGGTATCTCGGGAGAAAGTAAGAAGGTTGAGGACATCTACATGAACCTTCAGGACTTTGAGAAGACAGATGAGTGAGTACATCGCTTAATAGTGCCTAATCATCTAATTAGTCTAAACATTAAATAGAACTTTATCGATTCTACTAGAATAAGCAAGATCTTTTATCCTACACGAAATAATCGCGTATAGAAGAATCATTATTCTCCTATTCTTTCTTTGTCTCTTTTTCTTATATTTCATTGTATAACTTTCTCAGGGAAAAGAGCTCGATTGAAAAAGCATTGCTTGGAAATGTGTTCATGAAAAATCTAAAAGAATATCACATATCGGTAATAAAAACTTAAAATTTAACTCTTAGACTGTAATTTTTCTCTTTCAAAGCTTTCTCATTATATCAGTATATCCTATAATCTTTCGTATCACCCTCTCGTATTACACCATGTATAAGTATCCACCCGCCTAACCATCTTCCGCTTCACAGGAGATAGTGAGGTGCATGTATCCAGTTGATTATAATGAGGGTGACATGATTATTACTGAGGGCACCAGCGGAGATGTCCTATACGCTTTACAAGGTGATTTCATCACTCAAAACTAAAAGTGAAAGTGAAATTAGGATTGTTTCAAAATTCTTTTTTATCAGTTATCACTTATCACTTTCATATTATTTGTGGCGTCGGATTGTTTATCCCGCGATGATCTGTCTTTTGATTGATAAATATTAATTCTGGTTGGCCATTGAATTCGATCGACCTAATTTCCGGTAAAATGCCAATGATGTGGAATTCTTCATGACGAATAAGTAGACACAATTCTAATTTAATTTAATTTCTATACCATTAGAGGGACGAGTGGAGGTACAGAAAGAGGGCAAGAAGTTAGCCCAGTTCGGAGGTCCCACTGTATTTGGAGAGCTTGCTATCCTCTATAAATGCCCTCGAACTGCATCAATTCTAGGTTAGTTGTGCTGTAGCTCTTTTGTTAGTTTGTTTTTTACATGGACCATCTTACTATCTATAAAGCGAGACGATATATATATATTTATCTGTGCCATTTTACTGACACCACGGCATCAACTTTAACGCGAATTTCTGCAAAAACCGTCAAAGATATACAACTGAAACTTTTTTGACTAGGTCAAATGCTTTAATGGCCTCCAAATCAGCATGAAAAAATAAAACATTGGCCAAGAAATAGGAGTTTTAGAGCCCAAAATTTGGTACCACAAGTGGTGTCAAAAACGCGAATTAAATAGGTAATAATTGTTTTAGTCTCTTGAGTCTTGACGCCATTTTAGGGTTAGACGGGTTCCTGCTAGTTATTATAAATGGGATTACTGCTGTATTATTAAAGTACTAGTGTAACCCGGCCTTCGGCCGGGATTTCACTGCCGCAGTTAAAAAGGGTAGGATAATTTACCCGTTGAGTCAAAACCCGCATTAGGTGAGCAATTCTATTCGGAGTGCCCTCACGTATCCGTCATCCGATGGTATCTTAAACAATAGTAATAGTATCTTAAACAATAATCAATAGAAATTAACCCTTAACACCACACCCGCCTATCATATTTGTGAACACGCATAACATTGTCGTATGAAAGTATGAACTCTCTCTCTGCAGTCCAAACAGTGCCCCCTCGGCCTCCCCTAATAAGATTATAGTATAGACAGCGAATCTTGCACGGGTAACTCAATTACACTAATTATGCAGCTACATATGCGAGCCCCGTAACTCTTACCGTTGTGCTCAAGCCATTTTATGTAACATTTGTGGTACAAAATCATCAATTAAACCACTTACCAACGACCGATTTAAAAAACCTTTATCATTTAACTTCGTCAGAGTTTTGTCGGCACTTTACCGAAAAAATCAGTCCCGCAACTCTTACCGTTTTCTTGATTAAGCCGCTCGGAAATTACAAACAGACAGACAGACAGACAGACAGACAGAAAACACACATTCTGGGATTATTAGTTAGATTAATCTGATTTCGTATTTACTGCCTCGGCCATCTTTTGCCATTTTTTACACTGAAGTATAATACGAAATAAAATTGTACCGCGCTAATAATGTCATTTCACGGAACTACCAATGACGACGCTGTGTCTGCAACTGATATTTCTGCTGCTGTCTGCACGCGCTCGCGTTTGATTGAAGCAATTACCATTACTTAGTTAAACTTAATTAACCTCCTTCAGCCACGGTGCTGCATTCCCCACTTCCTGCTTCATTTGTAACCGCTCCTCCTTTTATGAGATTACATCGCCATCACCTACTTGAATACAGAGAGCTCGATTGTTGCCGCCCCATTCTTGTAAATTTAAGAGCTGTATTTATAATATAACAGAGCCATGGCGGCACTGCAACTTCATGTTGCTAATGCAGAATTAATTAAATTCGAATGGAGAGAATGCTGCTATTTACCATATTGCCATAGAAGTGCTTCTTTTGTTGATCGAGTGTACTTTAAATAGCTCTTAATATAATTATGAAAATGACATATATGTCACACTGTTTGTATTGTTGCAAGTAGCTCTGCAAACATCTTTTAGAGCTTTAAAAACATTTCCGCGATATATATCTGTACATATACAATTAATAACCACTATTTATGCCAGTGGTTTTTTATAACTGCCAGCCGTCATCCTGAAGCCGTACTATAGTTGTTCGCCTTATTTTGAAACTGGTCGTTTTGAGTGGCTATTTTTTAGCGCTTTAAACATTGTACTTTTCAAGAAAATTTGTGTGGTTTTTTGCAATCATTACCAACATAACAGCTTACTTCGGCTCAATTCATGCTCTAATAACTTTGTAGTAAGATGCTCGTCACAAGACTACTCTTACTCGCAATAAAACCATCTGGTGCCCTCAAATTCAACGTATAATGGACCTTGGATTTTGAATAATAGCTAAATTATGGTTTATTGTTGAGCCAGTACTATGACATCATTTGTACTTGTAGCCAAATACCTTTAATCAGAGATGATATCATTTTGTATTGTGCTTTGGGAGAACTAAATGATATCATTTGCATTCAGTAAACCTTAGATACGATGTGATATTAGTTTATGAAATGCTTTAGCAGAAGCAGAGGAAACTCTTTCAACTCTATTCCAATTCTTGTTTTCTGATACTCATAGAGTCCATTCCGGTAGTCTTTAAACAATTTAAAGTTTTTGAGATCGAAACATGGTCGTTTCATTCCCCCTTCTCAAAGGTAAATACATCTAAACGCTATTTTCTTCAAAATTTGAGAATGACCTCATTTCTTGCAAACTGAATGATATTCGACATATGACAATAAAGTTTATTGCTGTCCCTAGGTACTGCACTACTACTTACTACCACATACTACCAGTTTCCACATACTGCAAAATGAGCTACTTTTCCAGCAAATGAGGCCAGTTATTTAATGTCATGTTTAAGTGTGGTATTTTCTCAGTGATTTCATCCAAAGCTAAAGTATGGGCAATATCTCGGGATACTTACCAAACTATCATGATGAAAGATGGGATTCAGAGACAGATGGATGCTCTCAAGGTTATAAATAAGTAAGTCATTCTAGTATATATTATTAGTTACCATTGAGCACGACTTAGTGAGGCTAGTGTTTTTAAACTTCTTTGGTAACTACTAGTTCTATTGAATCTGACCACTTTCTTCAGTGTCCAGTTGTTAAAGAAACTGCCAGAATCCATGAAAATGAAGTTATCGTCGAGTCTCGTCGAGGTAAATATTTATAATTAAACCATAATTTTTCCTAAAAATCTGAATACCGCTTTTTCTGTTAGCATAAGCTTGTATTTGATAACATAATTATCAGCCATCCGGCTAATTATGCACTTTAGGAAACGTACTCGAAAGGCGAATACATAATCAGACAAGGGTCGATAGGTGACACGTTCTTCATCCTTAACGATGGTGAAGTGCTGATAACAGTGATAAAAGAACCCGGCCAACCAGCAGTACCCATCAGGACTCTACAGAAAGGAGCTTACTTTGGGGAGGTCGCTCTCCTCAGGTCAGAAAATGTAGCTCTATGTTATTTATTGTTACTTAGCGTCTGCTGCCACGTCTATTGTTACGCATCTATTGTTACTTTACATCTGTAAATTGTAATGTTTGCATACCAGATCCTTGGGTTCAATCTATTAGAATATTCAATTGTTAGAAAAAACAGTTTTGGCAAAAGTTGTTCGCATGTCATGATTTTAATGTGAACGTAAAATATGTTGCCATTTTTCTTTTGTGTGGCCAAAATTAGACCCAGCGGAACTAAACTATTATAAATATCCACAACTTGGTAATGAGTTCTCTCAAGTACAGATAGAAGGATTGCTTTTGACAGAATCGCTGCATGCTGTCATTATCATGATCAAACTTTGAATGAAGCTTTTACTAATTGTATAGTATATACTGTATATCCGTGAGGCTGACAGTGTATAATTCCTAGAAATACCCTCTTGACTAAGCACAGTGGCTTATTTACTATTTTAATTTTATTATGTGGTGAATAGACATTGAATAGGAAAGTAATAAAAGCCAAAGACTCAACGTTTAAAACATGTGATGGCTCACTTCCATTACTGTGCGATATGCTTAATTTACTTATAGTCGTGCGAAAAATTGGCTTGCATGTGCTTCATGAAACTAATAATTTATCAATTGATAATATTTGGTTTACATGATCATTGATCATGGCCTCCGATCTTTTTGCTTGGACAGATAATTTTAGGCGCCTTTTTGGATTAAAGAGTAGAGTTCATTCACTTGCTACTATTTCAAGGTTTTAACGTGTTTTTATTATTGAAGTAACCTTGATATTTCGGCAGAATGGATCAATCCCGACCCACCTTAAGTGGGAAGCTTAGGTGGGAAGTTTAGGTGAGAAGTTTAGGTGGGAAGTTTAGGTGGGACTTAGGGGTGTAAGAATCTAGATGATGTTTTGGTAGATTTTATGTTTAGACGTAGGTTTAACGCTACGTCGATTGTTTGGACAGGGGATAAGGAAGCACTGGTTGGTGTTTCTGTCAACTCCGCCAAGAACCCACATCCCAACTCTGTAGTTTCCTGTGATATTTACGCTTCCCAAATTTCGCCTCATCGATCTCGACAATTACACCAGGACCTCCGAGGGGGGTTGCGTTAGCGAGGAACCATGAGGAGACGAATCCTATCAGGGCAGCACGCCACACTCCGACGCTCTTCTCTGTGATACCGGTGTAGGCAGAGATTTCAACGTTGGTTAGGGATTTCGATGAGAAGTAGTAGATCAGGAGCATTAAGTGCTGGAATGGAAGGTTGGATCCACTCAGGACACTTTTGGATCTGATGTTCCTTGTCTTCTTGCAGGGGCGTCCGCACTTCCAAATGTAGAGATCTGCTGATTTGGAGGCTGCACAAGGTGAGAGGACCATGGGACTATTGCAGGCATCACAGTTCTGGGTGGGTTTTAGAATCTGTTTGGTCATCAGGAACAATCTGGAACTGTCAACGGTTGCTGCTAGGGTCATTATCTCAAAGTGAAGTCCAAGTCTAGCTGGTTGGAAAGGCATGTTGATAGATTGTGGTTGCGGGGTAGGATGAAAATGATGATCTTAACGGTATTTATACCATAGTGTGATTTAATGACGGGCGAAGTGAAGTGATTATCACCACAATCTGTCCTTGACAATATTCACAGACCAATCACACGATCCTCTAAGAGTCCCACTTAAACTTCCCACCTAAACGCTCGGACACTGAACTCAGCCATACGGTGAACTTCTAAGTTAAGAGTAATGTGATCCAAAGTCCCACCTAAACTTCCCACCTAAACTTCCCACCTACACTTCCCACCTAAGCTTCCCACCTAAACTGCTCACCTAAACTGCTCACCTAAACTTCCCACCTAAACTTCCCACCTAAACTTCCCACCTAAACTTCCCACCTAAACTGCTCACCTAAACTGCTCACCTAAACTTCCCACCTAAACTTCCCACCTAAACTTCCCACTTAAGCTTCCCACCTAAACTTCCCACCTAAACTTCCCACCTAAACTTCCCACCTAAACTGCTCACCTAAACTTCCCACCTAAACTTCCCACCTAAACTTCCCACCTAAACTTCCCACCTAAACTTCCCACCTAAACTTCCCACCTAAACTTCCCACCTAAACTGCTCACCTAAACTGCTCACCTAAACTTCCCACCTAAACTTCCCACCTAAACTTCCCACCTAAACTGATCACCTAAACTGCTCACCTAAACTTCCCACCTAAACTTCCCACCTAAACTTCCCACCTAAACTTCCCACCTAAACTTCCCACCTAAACTTCCCACCTAAACTTCCCACCTAAACTTCCCACCTAAACTTCCCACCTAAACTGCTCACCTTAACTGCTCAGCTAAACTTCCCACTTAAGCTTCCCACCTAAACTTCCCACCTAAACTTCCCACCTAAACTTCCCACCTAAGCTTCCCACCTAAACTTCCCACCTAAACTTCTCACCTAAACTTCCCACCTAAACTTCCCACCTAAGCTTCCCACCTAAACTTCCCACCTAAGCTTCCCACTTAAGCTTCCCACCTAAACTTCCCACCTAAACTTCCCACCTAAACTTCCCACCTAAACTTCCCACCTAAACTTCCCACCTAAGCTTCCCACTTAAGCTTCCCACCTAAAATTCCCACCTAAACTTCCCACCTAAACTTCCCACCTAAACTTCCCACCTAAACTTCCCACCTAAGCTTCCCACTTAAGCTTCCCACCTAAACTCCCCACCTAAACTTCCCACCTAAACTTCCCACCTAAACTTCCCACCTAAACTGCTCACCTAAACTGCTCACCTAAACTTCCCACTTAAGCTTCCCACCTAAACTTCCCACCTAAACTTCCCGCCTAAGCTTCCCACCTAAGCTTCCCACCTAAACTTCCCACCTAAACTTCCCACCTAAACTTCCCACCTAAGCTTCCCACTTAAGCTTCCCACCTAAACTTCCAACCTAAACTTCCCACCTAAACTTCCCACCTAAACTTCCCACCTAAAATTCCCACCTAAACTTCCCACCTAAGCTTCCCACTTAAGCTTCCCACCTAAAATTCCCACCTAAACTTCCCACCTAAACTTCCCACCTAAACTTCCCACCTAAACTTCCCACCTAAGCTTCCCACTTAAGCTTCCCACCTAAAATTCCCACCTAAACTTCCCACCTAAACTTCCCACCTAAACTTCCCACCTAAACTGCTCACCTAAACTGCTCACCTAAACTTCCCACTTAAGCTTCCCACCTAAACTTCCCACCTAAACTTCCCACCTAAACTTCCCACCTAAACTTCCCACCTAAACTTCCCACCTAAGCTTCCCACCTAAGCTTCCCACTTAAGCTTCCCACCTAAACTTCCCACCTAAACTTCCCACCTAAACTTCCGACCTAAACTTCCCACCTAAGCTTCCCACCTAAACTTTCCACCTAAGCTTCCCACTTAAGCTTCCCACCTAAGCTTCCCACCTAAACTTCCAACCTAAACTTCCCACCTAAACTTCCCACTTAAGCTTCCCACCTAAACTTCCCACCTAAACTTCCCACCTAAACTGCTCACCTAAACTTCCCACTTAAGCTTCCCACCTAAACTTCCCATCTAAACTTCCCACCTAAACTTCCCACCTAAACTTCCCACCTAAACTTCCCACCTAAACTTCCCACCTAAACTTCCCACCTAAACTTCCCACCTAAACTTCCCACCTAAACTTCCCACCTAAACTGCTCACCTAAACTTCCCACTTAAACTTCCCACTTAAGCTTCCCACCTAAATTTCCCACCTTAACTTCCCACCTAAACTTCCCACCTAAACTTCCCACCTAAACTTCCCACCTAAACTTCCCACCTAAGCTTCCCACCTAAGCTTCCCACTTAAGCTTCCCACCTAAACTTCCCACCTAAACTTCCCACCTAAACTTCCCACCTAAACTTCCCACCTAAACTTCCCACCTAAACTTCCCACCTAAACTTCCCACCTAAACTTCCCACTTAAGCTTCCCACCTAAACTTCCCACCTAAACTTCCCACCTAAACTTCCCACCTAAACTTCCCACCTAAACTTCCCACCTAAACTTCCCACCTAAACTTCCCACCTAAACTTCCCACCTAAACTTCCCACCTAAACTTCCCACCTAAACTTCCCACCTAAGCTTCCCACTTAAGCTTCCCACCTAAAATTCCCACCTAAACTCTCCACCTAAACTCTCCACCTAAACTTCCCACCTAAGCTTCCCACCTAAACTTCCCACCTAAACTTCCCACCTAAACTTCCCACCTAAACTTCCCACCTAAACTTCCCACCTAAACTTCCCACCTAAGCTTCCCACTGAAGCTTCCCACCTAAACTTCCCACCTAAAATTCCCACCTAAACTTCCCACCTAAACTTCCCACCTAAGCTTCCCACTTAAGCTTCCCACCTAAACTTCCCACCTAAACTTCCCACCTAAATTTCCCACCTAAATTCCCACCTAAACTTCCCACCTAAGTTTCCCACTTAAGCTTCCCACCTAAGCTTCCCACCTAAACTTCCCACCTAAACTTCCCACCTTAACTTCCCACCTAAACTTCCCACTTAAGCTTCCCACCTAAACTTCCCACCTAAACTTCCCACCTAAACTTCCCACCTAAACTTCCCACCTAAACTTCCCACCTAAACTTCCCACCTAAACTTCCCACCTAAACTTCCCACCTAAACTTCCTACCTTAGCTTCCCATTTAAGCTTCCCACCTAAACTTCCCACCTAAACTTCCCACCTAAACTTCCCACCTAAACTTCCCACCTAAACTTCCCACCTAAACTTCCCACCTAAACTTCCCACCTAAACTTCCCACCTAAACTTCCCACCTTAGCTTCCCACTTAAGCTTCCCACTTAAACTTCCCACCTAAACTTCCCACCTAAACTTCCCACCTAAACTGCTCACCTAAACTGCTCACCTAAACTTCCCACTTAAGCTTCCCACCTAAACTTCCCACCTAAACTTCCCACCTAAACTTCCCACCTAAACTTCCCACCTAAACTTCCCACCTAAACTTCCCACCTAAACTTCCCACCTAAACTGCTCACCTAAACTTCCCACTAAAACTTCCCACTTAAGCTTCCCACCTAAACTTCCCACCTAAACTTCCCACCTAAACTTCCCACCTAAACTTCCCACCTTAACTTCCCACCTAAACTTCCCACCTAAACTTCCCACCTAAACTTCCCACCTAAACTTCCCACCTAAACTTCCCACCTAAGCTTCCCACTTAAGCTTCCCACCTAAACTTCCCACCTAAACTTCCCACCTAAACTTCCCACCTAAGCTTCCCACTTAAGCTTCCCACCTAAACTTCCCACCTAAACTTCCCACCTAAACTTCCCACCTAAACTTCCCACCTAAACTTCCCACCTAAACTTCCCACCTAAGCTTCCCACTTAAGCTTCCCACTTAAGCTTCCCACTTAAGCTTCCCACTTAAGCTTCCCACTTAAGCTTCCCACTTAAGCTTCCCACTTAAGGTGGGTCGGGATTGTTCCATTCTACCGATATTTCCACGTCATGATTTTGTAGCTAAAGCAGATTATCTTTATTTGAAATGCATTGTTCAATGGGGAAGGGGGGGGGGAAGGGGGGCCAAGATCATAGAGCAGAGTTTTTTAAATGCACCTGAGGTCAAAACAGGTTTGAAGTTTATGGCTGGACTGCCGAAAGCTGCATCATGTCCAAATTTGGTAAACTTTTGGGTATAAATGGTGAACATAACGCCGTAGGCGAATCATTTTTGATGATTTTGCTTGTGCAAAAGGCTTAGCTGAGCAATTTGGCACTAGGAATAATTTCCTGAAAATTTTGAAAATATACTTACAGTAATTCTAGGTCTCAAAAAGGGTGCAAAGAGGAGGAATCTTGAAACATGTTTTGAAAATTTGCTTTAAGAAATGAATTCTAGCAATGAGGAATGTAAGTTTGGACTACACTTTTCTTTAGCAGTAAAGCAATTTAGATAATGTAATGGCGGATAGGCCAAACTAGGCCAACAAATTTTGGCCCCTTTCCAAGATTTTATGGGGGTTGGTCGACCCCCTACCCCCGTCTTCCTACACCCCTAAGTTAAATTACCCAGACATTGGAAAACTGAGAGTAACTCTAATAAAAAAGTTTCAGAAGGTTAACCACACAAAATAATTTCAGGGAGGAGCCGAGAACAGCGAATGTGATCGCCGTGACTGATAAGGTGGTCTGCTACGTGGTTGAGAGGGAAAAGTTCATGAAGCTGATCGGAGGGCTGGAGTTTGAGAAATATAATGATAACGATATCGATATCGGGTGAGCTTTGCTATTACCCTTCATATAATGTACTTTGATCTTTTGAAGGCAGTTGTTAACCTGGTTATTCGAGTAAATCTTGCCTATCGCTTCATTCTGCTTAACTATGTGTTGAGGTCAACTAGACTAACTACTTAACTAATTAAATACCACTTGGCACGTCTCCGTTATATGAACTACAAGGAAATAACCCCACCCTCTCCAGTGACAAAGACAAAGATTCGGACCCCGAGCAAGAAGAGGAAAGAGAAAGATACGACAACTTCAAACTAACCGATTTTAAGAGGGTGGCTACCTTAGGAGTAGGGGGATTCGGCAGAGTCGACCTGGTAAACTAAATCAATATTTAGATTACTTATACAATATACATACATTTATTGTCGCGGAGACACATTTTGGGTCGCAGGATCTCAGCCAACAGGGTTGAATGTCCTGCATTGTAAAGTTGTAAGAAACAACTGCATATAAGCTCAACAATCAACATGGATGAATGACCATAATTGACATTGTCCTCACTCAAGTGGAACGAATCGGACGTCTCCCGGTCTCCGGCGTAGAAAACATACATTTGCAATTTGCATTAACAAACTCCTTCATGGTTGCAGGTGAAACACAGATCAGGAGGGCAGACGTACGCTCTGAAGTCGCTGAAGAAGCAACACGTGGTGGATACCAAGCAGCAAGAGCACGTGGTGGCGGAGGCGAACATCATGAGGACTTGCAGGTTATAACAACTTTTATACTCTTATCTGTTTGCGGATATTATGAGGACTTGCAGGTTATAACAACTTTTATATTCTTATCTGTTTGCGGATATTATAGGTCAAGATAGTACTGCAGTAGGGTATCCTCATTCCTGTCATGTCCGTCTCCCGGTCATTGTCTTGTGGATAGACCTGGCGACAGAAAACCGCTTATCAAATAATTGGAAGTAACCAAATAGTTTAAACTTCAGGTCACCGTTTGTGGTACGGTTATACAAGACGTATAAAGACTCCAGATTTGTGTATATGTTACTGGAGGTCTGTCTTGGAGGTGAACTCTGGACTAAACTTAGAGACATGTGAGATTTGTAATATTTGTCTCCCTATCAGTGTCAGTATTTATGATTTATCCGAAGTTCGTACGAAAAAGTACCACTTACACGTCTATCGCAAATAGTTTTCCTGATCCAAACTGACAGAAGTAAAGTTCCTAAAAGTGATTTCCAGTTTTAATTAGAAAATCTTCCAGGCAGCAGTTTGACGAGCACACGGCTAAATTCGTGGTCGGTTGTGTGGTAGAAGGACTGAACTACTTGCACTCTAAAGGAATCGTTTACCGAGATCTCAAACCGGAGAATTTACTTCTGGACGAGCGGGGATATGTCAAGATTGTCGACTTTGGGTTTTCAAAAAAGATTGGTTTCAGACAGAAAACGTGGACATTCTGTGGCACTCCAGAATATGTGTCACCTGAGATTATTCTGAACAAGGTGAGTGTAAACAAACTGTCAAGCTCAAAGCTGTATAACCAAGCTTAACCAAGCTAGTTATTATCAGTATTACACTCAATTCCTTTTGTTCTCGTTTTTATTTTTTAAACCTATAAATATTCATTTTTTCAGGGACATGATCTGTCAGCAGATTTCTGGTCTCTGGGAATTTTGATATTCGAAATACTGACTGGAAAGTAAGTATAACTGAGAAGATTCCGTAATTGTTGCAATTTGTCTAGTCTTATTTTATCCACAAAACGAGCAAATCATTGATTCGTTGTCACATAATCGCTATTATAAGTGTTGTATCGACAAAGTGAGTATCTTTTCAGTCCACCATTTTGCGGATCTGATGGGATGAAAACATACAACCTCATACTCCAAGGCATCAACATGATATCTTTCCCCGTGACCATGAGTAAGGGTGCTGTCAACATCATCAGAAAACTCTGCAGGTAGGCGGCGTAACACACGTTATCATTATTACAATATGTTTGTAATAGTATACTGTTCTCAGTTGAGGACACACCACCAGGAGCGATAAAAGATTAAATCTGCGGAAATTTATTATCATTTTAAGCTTTAACGAACCCGTTAGAACCCTTTAGCAGGAACCCGTATCATATAACTCTAAACGGTGTCAAGACTCAACAAAGACCAAAATAATTATTACCTATTTAATTCGCGTTTTTGACACCACTTGGGGGTCCAAATTTTGTGCTCTAAAATCACTAATTCTTGGCCAATTTTTTATTTTTTCATGCTGAATTGGAGGCCATTAAAGCATTTGACCCAGTCAAAAAAGTTTCAGTTGTATATCTTTTACGGTTTTTGCGGAAATTCGCTTTAAAGTTGATGCCGTGGTGTCAGTAAAATGGCACAGATAAATATATATATATATCGTCTCGCTTTATATATAGTAAGATTACAATATGTTTGTAATAGTATACTGTTCTCAGTTGAGGACACACCACCAGGAGCGATAAAAGATTAAATCTGCGGAAATTTATTATCATTTTAAGCTTTAACGAAGTTAAAATTGTGTTTAATGTTATTTTCAATTGCAAACAGGGAGAACCCAGCAGAAAGGTTGGGATATCAGAAGAATGGATTCAGGGATATCAAAAAACATTTGTAAGTAAACAATTTGGTGGCCCAACATGCAAAATCATCATATTCTGATTTAACGTAGACTTTTTGAAATTACCCAAGCTCTCGCTCACTTGCTGCAACATTCTTTAATACCATCTTTCCAGGTGGTTCCAGGGATTAAACTGGGAGTCCCTTCGGTTGCAGACGACCCAGCCCCCAATTGTACCAAACATAAAGAGTAAAGACGACCATTCCAACTTCGACCCATACCCTGACGACGACGATTATCCACCAGAGGAATTTAGTGGGTGGGATGCAGATTTTTAAGGCACCACACTATAACTCACAACTGATCAGAATATAAAGTGAGCTCTGCGAGTCAAGAAATAAAGAAATTATGATATCAGGCTCGCGATAAACGTCTTTTTCCCGATACTGTGTATTACGGTGGATATAGCTTGTGTCGAATCAAATATTTCAGCAAGTTTTTGGAAGTAGTAAGAGTACTGATTATAATTTGGAGTAGGTTGGAGTCGTTTTATTAGTGGTCGATATAAGATTACGTATTTGTTTACTTTGATTGATTCTAATTTAAACTTAATAAATGATATAAATTCATATATTTTTCCTCGTACAAGAATCTATAGTCATAGATGAGGGACAACTTACATTTTAGAGTTTTTTGTTGTTGTACTCTTCATGAGGGATTGCAATGTCAATTTTTACCCTTGTGTTCATGAAACCTTCATCTGAGACAGCAAGTTAGGTAGAATAAAAATAAAATAGCATAAAAATTTTCCTCCTTCCTTTGTGATATTTCATTTAATTTGAGATGGACGTTATTGAATTTGATTGATTATTGATCCGTTATGAACTATTGTTTTTAATCATCTTAATAACTGAACACACGAAATCTTACTGTCTTCTTCCTGAGTTCTTTGCGATTAAATTTATACTGTAGCACTGAAAGAAAAGGCATCAATAAAGGCACTACAATAAACGCGGACCTGCTACAGTAAACAGATCATAAATGGACATTTCAATATTTGGCATCTACGAACAAACAGAAATACTCTGCACCACAATAATTACTACAAGTTACCAGAATTGATGCATCAAAAATGTGAAAATAGTAAACAATTTGTTATCGCTTGTATAATTTTAAAGTAGTAAGTCAACTACAGATGGAATATGACACGATTGAGGTGCTGGAATTTTGATTTCGGTCGGAGGAAGCCCACTGCAGAATGCACAGCAGATCGGGAGAGACTCGAGGATCGAGGGACAATAGTCTTACATATGTTCTGGAATTGCCGTTCACACACTACACAGTACACATTCTCGACAATTTCCAGTCGCATGCTATTGCTACACACTACACATTCTTAAATGATAATATCAAGTGTCTAAACGTACTCCATGCTATGTGATGGTTCATGCTACCCTGATTATTATGATCGCCTAACATTTTTCTTTTGGTTTTCTGAAGTCAGTACCTCAAGTCAGTACAATTACATACTCCTCGATGTTTGTACGATTTTGTAGTTGAGGCTATTGTAATGCGATCTCGGAAGGTATGCCTCCCCTTTGCAGTGCGAGCTAGGAAGCGGGAGCTCTGCCTTTACAGGTACGTATCGAGGATGACTCGGACCGAACATTTTATAAGTCACCATTTTTCAAAGTTTTTCTAAAAACTATTTTTGTTCACGATTCATTTATTTATGAATCGTGTATCGAGTATTAATTCATGTTGATTCACGATGTCAATCCTTCGCAGCTCGGTGAGGCACAGTGGTGCATCTCGCCGATCTACCGAAGTGGTTGCGAGAAGAATTATTTTATACTACTGGGTCGCGCTGCGCATCAAATAATTCTTCTCGCAACCACTTCGGTAGATCGGCGAGATGCACCACTGTGCCTCACCGAGCTGCAAAGGATTGACATCGTGATATGTATGAATCAACATGCTACCCTGATCATTATTAGCCGAAAATTTTTTTTTCGATTTTCGAAGTCCGTGCCTACATTCGGAAGGCTGTGGACGTGATTGGTTCCATATACTTGCGCGAATTTTCGCGGAGAACTTTAAAAATCGCGAACTGTCGCGAGGATCTGAGAAAGTCACGATTTGTCGCGGTAAACGTGAAAAATCGCGATTTGTCGCGGAGAATGGAGAAAATCGCGATTCCGCACGTGCCACAATTTCCTTTTGTCCTTGGCGTGTTTACATGACATTATTTACGTCATATTTCATTGTCATGTTAATCCTTTGCAGCTTTTGTTATATGTTGCCTCCGGTAGCTTTGCTTACGATCCCGAAAAGTAGTAATGAGAAATACAATTGTTTATGCCTTTTTTCATGGCCTTTTAATGCCAATGATAAAACTTGTGACATGTCATGGATTCACAAAAGATGAAGTTTATTTTAAGGGGGGGGGGGTTCACCCTCATTTTTTTGTAAAACTTGGTTTCGAGATAGCAGTTGACCAACAAACTAGGACCGGTGACCAAACTTTAGAGGGGGTCCCCGACCCCAACCGCCAAACGGTGCCCGCGGGGCAGCCACGCCCATATTTGGTCCAAATTAGGCCCAATTTAGCCAAATACCCTGAACATGCCCAAAACCCAGATTTTAGGTCTTCTACTTGTAGCTAGTGGTCCCTTGAACTCGTATATGAATTTTCATCAAGATTGAACAACAAATGACTGAGTTATGAGCCAAAAACCATATGCCCATATTTGGGCATACGCACCAAATTTGGTCGATTTTGGCCCATAAATTAGTCAAATATTAATATTTTTGAATGAAACTAACTTTACATGGAAGGTAAGCCTATACTACACATTCTCTACGAATATCAGCTCAGTATCTATCTAACTGTGGATTCTGTGTCCAATTAATCGCAAAAAATGAACAAAATCGCCCATACCATACCATATCTCAGTTTGCGATATTTGCGAAACTGATTTCGTTCAAAACAATAGAACTCAATAGGGTTTTAATTTGGTTGACGATGTCAACCCATCGAGATCGTTGCTCTGCGAAGCAGAGCAACGATCGACGATGCGAAGCAAGATCGACGATGCGAAGCAAGATCGACGATGCGAAGCAAGATCGACGATGCGAAGCAAGAATGCTAGTTCGCGCGGCGCGTCGAAGCGGCGAAGTCCTCCAAGGTTTTAATATTTTTAAATGAAATTTTCAGAATCAACGTAGAATTGCATTTCGACCTGAAGTTTTGGGACAAAATTTTGAGTTAGGCCTTTAAAAAAATTTGCCGGGCATTTTTCAGTATTTGGCCGCCAATTTTTTTAAAGGCCTAACTCTACTGTCTGGAGACTGGTCGGTTCAGAGTGGTTATCAAGTAAGCTTTGCTTAAAAACTAGGGGGTGCACGATAAAAATAAACTTGCTCGGATTTTCTGTAAATTTTTGTACCATTGTTTTCTAAAGACTGTGAGAATTTTCACAGTGCCAAATTTGTCATACCTTTTTGGAATAATCAGTGAGTTTCGCCTATGTGCCATATTTGATGGTGCGCGGCTTTAGCAAGCAAAATTTCGTTGATTTTTGTCGTATTATTCTGTCATATCTCGACGAGCAGAAGTTCGAGCTGTTAAATCACCTTCATAACAGTAAGAGCTCATTCCCCGAACTACCCTTCTTTGCCGAAACACTGCGTTACAAAGTATCCAGTCAGGACATACTTTATCCTGTCGAAAACGTCCGAGATCTTGGAGTTATGGTTTCAAGTGATCTTAGCTGGTCGACACACATCGGCAACATGGTACCCAAAGCAAGGAGCACGCTATCTTGGGTATTCAGTGAGTCAGTGTGTTCAAAACTCGCGACAAGACCGTAATGTCTACTCTCTACAAGTCACTAGTAAGAAGCTTACTAGAGTATTGCTGCCCACTCTGGAGTCTGGAGCCCTACCAAGGTGACTGAAATACAGCTGATAGAGGGGGTGCAAAGAACTTTCACCAGTCGTATTGGCGGTCTTCAACATCTCAACTATTGGGAAAGACTCGTACAGCTTAAATTGATGTCTCTACAGCGCAGACGGGAGAGGTATATCATCCTGATGATGTGGAAGATTCTCCATAATGTGGTACCAAACTGTTGTGATGTCAAGTTCAAGGTGACCCCAAGACACAGGGATGTAGCTGTCATACCCTTGATCATTGTCAAAGTCAAGTTCCTTACGCAACCAGTCACTGTACGACAGGTCTTTTACAGTTCAAGGACCGAAGCTGTGGAACAAAGTGCCTCACACAGTAAAGGCTGATTCATCCTTTGACATGTTTAAATGTAGTTTGTCGAACTTTCTTGCTTTGATACCGGACAACCCTCCGGTCGCCGGCTACAGCTGCAGTTGGTCAAACTCACTGGTCGATTACTCGCCATCAAAGCATCAAGGTGGTCAGATATCTGATGACCCTTCCGGCTCCACGGATGAACTCAACGAAGTAACGAAGTAAGTATCTTCGATTCCTGAATATGAATCATGCTGAAAATTTGTCAGAACCTTCTTATCATACTTAACTACCGAACCTAATTTAGTTTGGAGAGATTGGCCTTGATTAAGAGGTCTAAAAATGATAAAATAGGTATAAATTCGTTGATAACTCAAATTCTGACCATCAAAATTGCTCAAACTAATTTAGATTTAGTAGAACATAAGTGTTTACGTAAGCTGACCAAATTTCAACAAAATTGTTATATGGGAAGTAGTTTGAACGTTCATGTGACTTCGTCATATCATTTAAATATTTGGCCGTTCTCACGTTAGATGAACAATGACACTATTCAGTTAGACAAATATCTGGTGGGTAAACCATTGGCATTATCAATTATCAAGTAACCATTAAATTTTGTAAAGGAGTAAATAATCAGGTGACGGGGAACACCATCTTTAACTTGTTGAGAATGGCGGAGATGGAAACAAATAATAATGAGCGACCTTTCGAGCCTCCAAGTATCAGGAAAACCGAGATCCTCAACAATCCGTTTGATGATATAGTTACTAGAGATATTAAGCATAAAACTGTGAGTTTCTGCGTAACTTAAAATGTGACAAACTTTTTACCTTTATTGAACTAATACAATGTTGCAAAAGATGGAACCAAACTTAGTTCAGAACAAGAAAAAGTTTATAACGGCGAACTGGCACCCTATAATGTCCATTACCTGCTACTAATCAAAATTTTTGTAAGATTGACCCATCAGTTCTAATCTTAGTGATTAGTCACATATTCGCCACAGTAAGATCAATCGCCTAACATAGACTTTACAGCTAGCCAATACACTGGATATTTTTCTGCAAAATAAGTTTATACGGCAATCAAATGCAGGGCGAAGAGAAGAAGAAAGCAAAGAAGAAGAAAAGTTAGATGAAGGCTACAAAGAATTTCAAACTTTTGTCGTTCGGAGAAGAAGTGCAAGCTGAGGAAGACGAAAAAGAAGTCCAACGGCAACAGGTAAATATGTATTTCAAAAGATGATATTATTTTATTTTATAAAATAATTCGTGAAGTTCTAAGAAACACATAAGTTTTATACAAGTGAAACAAGCTCATTGGGCTTTTTGATATCAGAAAAATGATATCGAATTAATGAATGCTGTTGTAAAAAGGAACAACCGCATTATAAAGTAATGTTTTTTTTGGATTTTGGTTTTTTTTTGGTTTTTTCTTTGTTTTTGCCTCTTTTAACATTTTTTTGGTTTTTTTTCTGGTTTATGAATAATAACAAAGAATGATTAATGCATCCTATCCCATGACTGTGGTTTCTGCAATTGCTGCTGCAGAGTGTTTGTCAGAGCGCGAGCGTATGTCAGAGCGTATGTCAGAGCGTATGGCAGACCGTGTGTCCGAACGTGTGTCCGAGCGTATTTCAGAGCGTATGTCAGAGCGTGTGTCGGAGCGTATTTCAGAGCGTATGTCAGAGCGTGTGTCGGAGCGTATGTCAGAGCGTATGTCAGACTGTGTGTCCGAGCGTGTGCCCGAGCGTGTGTCCGAGCGTGTGTCCGAGCGTATTTCAGAGCGTGTGTCAGAGCGTGTGTCAGAGCGTATGTCAGAGCGTGTGTCAGGGCGTATGTCATAGCGTATGTCAGAGCGTGTGTTGAAGCGTATGTCGGTAGACTTTTCAAACAGTAAGGCAATTATCCTGATCCCCCTGATTCTGCAGAGATAAAATGAGATTAAATTAGGCTAAGATCCCCCTGATTCTGCAATAAGATCAGTGTTGCTTAAATTGATTTTTATAGATTGCAATTACATATTTTCAGATCAGTTGATTAGCTTTCAAGGAAAACCTATTAATGCTTGTATCACAAATGCGAAGGTGCTACAAGATTCAACAAACTTAATTCGGGTACCAAATGACTTATGAAAAGTTCATTTGTTTAACTATCCATTTACCTGTTCACGAGATCTCGTTACAAGCTGTTTCGGGAACTGGCCAGCTCCACGAGATGTATTGTCTCTGATTAGCAGATTATTTTCTGAGATCGATTTACGATTTCTCTGTAACTTGTCTGTTGGGTTACTTGGATCAAATGTCACTGTCCCTGCTCCATTTGGGTAGGTGTATAGTTCGCTTTCTGATTCATTTGATGTTACATATTCAGAGACACTTTGATCCCCTTTGTCGGTTTTCTTCTCAACTTCATTGTTTCCACAGGAGTTTATTCCATCCTCCCCTTTTGGAGGCCCTTCTTTTTTGACGACTTCTCTACCCGCCGTTATGAATTTCTTCACCCGTATGGAATCTTCACTCTCGGAGATGAAAACGAGTTCATCTGGGAAGATACTCGAAGACACGTATTTGTGTTTGCGGGCACCCAAACCTACCTAAAAGAAATTACTGTTTTACAATTTATATTAAGCATGTAACAACTAACAATATTTAAGCTCCAAATAGTGTTCATGAAGAGATTAAATTGCATCAAAAAAGTGATGAAACCTTGAATCAATTTGAAGTATTGTGAAATAAAATTGAAAACGAAGTTGGATCATTCTAAAATTTTACCTTTGAACGCGCTGATCTATCCCTTTCCGTTCTCGTCTTCCATATTTTTGACCTGCTAGTGCTGTCGAGAGTCCTTGAAGCAGGAAACCTTGGGTCTAGCAATCCCTGTTGTAAGGGGCCTTGTTGTGGTGGCTTTTGTTCAGGAACTTGTAGTCCCACTTCCAAGTCAATTTCGTTGAAGACCTTCGAAATTTTGTTCACTGTACGAATGTGAAGTCCGATGACGAGGAATCCTAGAGCCAATACCAATACTCCAAGAAGAATCACAGCTGCAGATAACTGATTGATCTCATTTCCTGTGAGCACTGATGCACTTGTATTTAAGTTGACCATTGTTTTTTATGAGTTTAAGAGCAATTGGAAGTGAAAGATAAATAAATGAGCGTGCACGCGTACCGCGCATACATTGCAGCCAACATCTCCATGGTAACCGCGGCGTCCACGTGCACACGCCAAATATGAAACACTGCCCATCGCGCGACTTGGTCTAGAGTCGGAAGGTTCATAGCAATAAAATATTGTCAGAAATTTGCTATTTCCAGCTTATCTGTTATTCCTAAGGTCAAATAGCTGCCAAAAATGTGGACTCCAGGATATATATGCTGTAGAAAAGAGTTTGAGTCAATTATTATTACGAGCGTCAAATTGGTTTGCTGGTCAACCAATTAAAAGCAGAGATTTAACCTAAATTACTCAGAATTTCAAGACACAATAAATATGCGATACCATCGGGAGTTGAAATGATTTTCAAGTTCAACAGTCTATCCTTGCACCCAAAATTTCACAATGACACACGCACTTAAGTGCAAGAGAGGGGGGCTTTGTTCACATGAGACACGATAACATCAGAGACTTCATTGCAGGACTACTCAAAATCGTGCAACATGGCGTTCAAACTGAGCTACCTCTTCGGAAAATAATAGAGGCTCAAATTCAATCTGTTGAATTCAGAAACACAGCCGATGTAGCGAGATTGGACATCAGGCGAAAGGCTAAATAAGTAAATAGCATTTAGGAGAGTTGGCCAAGGCGCCTATTTTGTTAGTGTCATATTAACAAATCCACTGTCATCTACTATGAGTATGAAGACTTCACTGTATGACTATGAAAAAGAAAAGAACCGATCGTGCAATTATGGAGTTATAAAAGTGAAGCAGGGGACTTTTACGCCGGGGTTCTGGTTGTCAACATTTTGTTTGTTAAGTCGGAAGTCCTAAATAGGGAAAGGGAATGGCCGCGGTACTCGGTAGCCGGTAAATCGGGGCGCGATAAACCGGGGTTTTACTGTACTAAGATTGCTGAAAAAAGGTATGACTCGTACAGCAAAGTTGCCAACTGGATTCGAACCAAAATAAGTTTCAATTTCCTGACATCAATATTAGTATGTATCAGAGGTACAAGAGCTAAAGTGAAAGACAGCTGCATTAACGAGGACTTCCATTTTTTTGGTGTTCAGTAATGATTAAGATTTAAAATGTTTAGTAAATTTTGAGGAGTCCTCAGTATCCTCACGTCCGACAATGGCGTTTCTCTTGTCGAGCCTAATATATGTTTTTCCCAAACAAAATTATCATGAGTCGACGTTCAGTTAAAAATTGACAAGTCAGTGTAAGTGGTGTTAATAATATTAAGCAACAGTCGCCCAAAGATAATCCTGAGTAGAATCATAAAATAAATGGTAATCACGAAAAAATGAAAACGATTCGTCTTCAGGTGACCCGCTTGTGACTCAACTAGTTTCGGCTTCAATTACTTCTTATCTACTAATAGGTGAAGTTTTGTTTATAATAGCCGTTCAACTGGGAGCACAAACTAATCATATTTATAACAATAACTTAAACTAACAGTTGTTGCACTACTTGGAGTTTCAGGAGATTAATCCTTAGGGAACTAATTATAATGATGGAATAAATAACACCTGATCGTACTTATTTTTCAATATTGGCTAATTGTAAACAGCAAAACATGTGCCTGCACTTCGATATCAACTCTGACGTTTTATATTATATATTACAATTAATTGTTAACAATTATTCCTGTCATCTTTAACATTGAATTAAAATGTTTTGAACTTAAATATACTTGCTGAACTACTTTCGATGAGTCTTAATGCCCGAAAACAATAAAGGGGTATAATAGTAAAGGGGGTATAATAGTAAATGGGGTATAATAGTAAAGGGGGTATAAAAGTAGAGGGGGTAAATAGTAAAGGGGGTCCGGGGTAAATAATAAAGGGGGTAAATATTATTGTGAATATAAGAGGCACGGTCATGCTTGCCAGCATTGTGATACTTCACGACAATCTGGGGTTCCAGAAAACCCACTTCCCGATACATGAAATTTTTTCCTGCAAAGTTTCAGATCTCTAACTTAATTTTAACGTGGTTTTTAAGGCACCTGAATATGGCGATTTTGGGTTTTTTACCTAATTTCGTATAACATGCTGCAAGTGCATGGCGCGCGTATTTTGCGCAAATTTCTTAAAAACCTCCACATAACTATTTATTATTCCTGTCATCTTTAACATTGAATTAGAATGTTTTTTACTTAAATATACCTGCTGAACTACTTTCGATGAGTCTTAATGCCTGGAAAATAATAAAGAGGATATAATAGTATAGGGATTAGGGGGTAAATAATATTGTGAATATAACGGCAACGGTAATTTGATGTATCAGTAAAGTCTCTACGACCTTTCTGGGCCAAAATACAAAAATTCGAGTGACCGCAAAACCCTAGAAAAAAAAGACACTTTAGTATCACATTTGGGTCACAAAATGATCAATTAAACTTAACCACTTACCACCGACCAATTTGAAAAACCTTAATCGTTTGGCTTCGTCAAAAAATACCGAAAAAAATCAGTTTTACCATTTTCTTGATTTAAGTTTAACCATTCGTAAATTACAGACAGACAGACAGACACAGCAACACAAATACACATTTATTGAGATTATTAGTGTAGATGCTGTACTTTATCGACTATCATAGTGATTGTGATTCAAATAATGGAAGCACCATGGCACCATAACCCATCAATATTGATGTGGCCAGAGGAAATGTCTCTCATGGCACAGAGAATTCCTCACCACTAATGACCGAATAACCAACTTCGGACAATCAACAATCCCGAAAAGGCCGGTAGCAAACAGGAACTATTATATTCTTCACTCTCCAGAGTTGCATTGCCGCAGTGGCGTAACGAAAGGCCCTGCTGACCCCGCTGTGGTCTTGCTAACACAATTAGGAGGACATTGCTAACACAATTAGGGGGACATTGCTAACACAATTAGGGGGACATTGCTAACACAATTAGGAGGACATTGCTAACACAATTAGGGGGACATTGCTAACACAATAAGGGGGACATTGCTAAATGGGCACCGGCCACCGGGTATATTCAAAATTTTACTACCACGATTTTAGCAGTGAATGTTATATGATATAGGGTTTCTGAAGTTAATGGCTTGGCAAACAAATGGGATAATTGTGATAATTTCATAATCTGAGGCATGGCTGATTTTGGTAATATTATTTTTGCATTTGTTTCTCCTTATCTACACAATGCTTTGTGAATATGGCCCCGATTCATTGAACTTGTCAATTAAACACTAGCACTTGAATATCATTATTCAAATCGATAATTCAGAATAGTCGTATACCGAAGGTTACAATGAAACTGGGGGTTTTCATCCGCGTTATGGTTGTTATGTTGGGCGGGATTACTTCCACACACGGTGAATTGAGAATATCTGATAAGGACAGCAACGTGACACTAGGATCAGCCAACACATCTGATGCCGGAAGTTCGGATTTTAATGGGCAAAACGAAGGTATTATTTGCGTGACTTACTCACTTTTTTCGTTAACGTGTGCTATTAAATAGGCTTCATATGAGTAAAAACCTAATTAAAAATATGTTGTAGCGCCGTAACATAATATAAATAAATATAAAATATTTAAATTAAACATAAAAATTAATATAAAAATGAAAAAAAAATCTTTTCAGGATTGATTGTAATAAACAAACTTAAAAAGAGATATCCCTTCGAAGAGGTGCTTACTCCCGGAAATAAAATAGAAATCTACGGAATGTTCATTAAGAATATGAGGAAATATAATTTAAAGATATACATCAATGACGGAGACCGAACGTTATTTTATCTCTTATTTAAGCCAAAGGAGGAAATAGTGATGATGAATTCCAAGTCCAAGAAAAAAACGTGGCAAGAGGTAAGATCTCAAGGTATTAGGGGAGTCTTTCCGCAGACAATTACCAATGGTAAAAGATTTCAAATTACGATCCGGTGTTTGGAAGACGCATTTGCGGTGTCAGTTGACAACATCTCAATTGGTCAACCGTACCCCTATCAAAAGGAGTTATACACAGCAATTGATTTGGTTTTGGGCGGAAAAAATATTCCAGCAGAACATTTTAAATGGCTCGCTATTAGAATGCCACAACCTTGTCCACCTGGGACATTTTTGGACGAATCAAGCGGAAATTGCATAACATACAGATACAGGATAGAAGGTTCCGAAAAAATTGGTAAGAAAGGAAAATCTGGTGTACAAGGACCTCCTGGAGAAGTCGGTATAGAAGGAAAATCTGGACCACGAGGAGATCCCGGGATAAACGATTTCTGTAATAATTGTTTGAGAGGTGAGCCAGGAGAAGATGGAGCTATTGGTCTCAATGGAGCTAAAGGAGCCGCTGGAGATGCTGGAACGCAAGGTGCAAAAGGAAATACAGGAGGAAATGGAATTCCCGGAATTCCCGGAATCAAAGGAGAGCAAGGTTCACCGGGAGAAGCTGGGAAGTCAGGGGTTCCAGGAATACCGGGAATTCCGGGGAGACAAGTATCAAAGTATTGTGGAGGGAGGACCACTTGCCCGCAGTTGGGATTGGGGAGATGTTACGGCCAAAGTAGCCTAGGTTTTACACTTCAGTGTAGAGATGGGTTTGCTGCAGTCTCAATTTGGAGAAACACTCGGTTTTGGGGGCTAAAATGCTGTGAAATTATCGTTACAAATGATGGGCATTAAGGACGGAGACTCAAAATCATGTGTCCTATAATATAAATAAAGGACGTCTTCGGGGTCCTCGCTATAAATGTGTATTGAAAAAACTGGTCGGCTGAGGATGCAGAGGCTATAATAACGAGAATTTGGGCGTGTATCGAAACATTCCCTGCAGAAACTGAATTAGCCACTGCATGAGCTGTGCGGAGGAAGCTTTTTTAGCGTATAAACTGGGAATTTTCAGAGTTTATGTTATTTTTTTAATTGCTAAAAAACATATTATATTATTACATATTTTGTTTCATTTTTTCATTTCTAATGTCAAGGTTCAAAATTTTACCCATTTTAAGCGATTATGAACTTGTCCCAGACGAGGAACCGACCAGATATCCGGCTGAATCGGAAATTTCGAAACTTTTACAATAATTTTTTTAATTTTCTGACAAGTAACCAATGCGGAGATATGAAAATAGATTGATACCCGATAGTTTTCGGTCCAGCAGCCAAATGACAAATCCCTAGACCGGTAATCGGTTCCTAGTCGATTGTTCATTTCATCAAATTTGTATTGTACTCATTATAGCGTACTCTACAGGTACCGCGACAATTGACCCCCCGACTATTGACCCCCCCGACAATTGACCCCTATGTAATTACATTGGGGTCAATTGTCGCGAAATCTAGGGTTTAGTACGACAATTGACCCCCCATGTAATTACACTGGGGTCAAGTGATCGGGTTAGCGTCAGGATCCTGGGTTAGGGTTAGGGTCCTGGGTCAGGGTAAGGGTTAGGGTTAGGGTTAGGGTTAGGGTTAGGGTTAGGGTTAGGGTTAGGGTTAGGGTTAGGGTTAGGGTCAGAGTCCTGGGTCAGGGTCAGGGTCAGGGTTAGGGTCAGGGTCAGGGTCAGGGTCAGGGTCAGGGTCAGGGTCAGGGTCAGGGTCAGGGTCAGGGTCAGGGTCAGGGTCAGGGTCAGGGTCAGGGTCAGGGTCAGGGTCAGGGTCAGGGTCAGGGTCAGGGTCAGGGTCAGGGTCAGGGTCAGGGTCAGGTTCAGGGTCAGGGTCAGGGTCAGGGTCAGGGTCAGGGCCAGGGTCAGGGTCAGGGTCAGGGTCAGGGTCAATTGATTAAATTATATTGTCGGGGGGTCAATTGTCGGGGGGTCAATTGTCGGGGGGTCAATTGTCGCCAACCCACTCTACAGTCTAGAATCTAGATCTACAAAACAGAGTACAAGTTACCGAGGGCGCCATCATGGCGCCCTCGGTAACTTGTACTCTGTTTTGTAGATACACACTTTTTTAGAGATTTTACCGGCGTATTCTCTAAAATCACCTAATTTGTTCAATTTTAGGGAGGGGCACCAAAAGGGGAGGGGGTGCCAACAGGGGGCGCTTTTTTCGGCAGGGGGGCGCCAACAGGCAACGTTACGCCACTGTGCATTGGTATCTTAAATAATAACAACGATAATCGATTATTCTCAAAACACTTTCCAGCATGTTTAGCTCGAAATTTAGTGGTGAAATGAAGTCACTCAACTCTCAAGACTGAGGTCTGAGGACATCATCAGATGTTAATGTCTTAGCTTTTCTTGTAAATTTCACGTACCTAGCTCAAATAGCGCGCACTAAAGCTGTCATATTTTGTTGCACTACCCGCTCACAGCAAGGCAACTCTATACAAGTTTGTTTTTGCGCGTTACCTTAACACTTCATTTGGATCGTGACCGGCCTATTATCTCAGGTTTAAATTGCATGAAATGGACTAGAATTGGGCCCGCAATACAATAAGCAAGTAGCTGCTATGGCAACCAAATGATGAAGCACAATGAAGCACAATTGACAATGATTAACGTAAACAATAATGAGTGACTAGCCAAGGCCTGTCTTATTCAGAGACACTCGCTGAGAACTCGATCACAGGATATTCTGCCCTCTTTGCGGATGAAGATGTCAGCATTATACTTCTTGGCCCATACTTTAGAAGCGAGACCTTCCCCAAACACATAATTATAAAATGGTAAAACATCAATTGTTTTGAATGAAACTAATTTTATACAATAGGTAAACCGGTAAATTTTGTGTGATAGGTAAACCTATAATAACCATTATCTATTATTAATAGCTTCGCCCTCTTTTTTTCTTTTCTTTTTTAAAGAGGCTGGGCCTGAATGGCCCACTAGAGGATAGCATGTGGATGCTATGCCTGCATCTGGGGTATGGCAACCCTGCGGTGGAGGTTGCCGGAGAAAGTGAATAGTGGAGGTAGTGTGAGGAGTCATAAAGGGACACTTCAGTGCCAGCTGGGTGTGGAAAAGGAAGATGAGCTAAGAGTAAGACAAGGTTTGAGTTGTCTCTATGTCACACCGGTCTGGTCCAGCTCCTCTGGCTCAATTAAACGTTTGGTGCGGTTTGCAAGATTGACAATAGTGGAGATGTGTTGGTTGTCATTGACGGAGAAGTAATAGTCCTGGAAATAGTGCCCTCTTATTTGTGCAATAGCCGGGCACTCAGGCACTGTCCAAGAAAGTGTGAGACAGTCTTCTCTTCGTCGCTTCGCCCTGTAGTAAGCATATCACATTAATTTGGTGAGCTGAGGAATAAAAAGCCCGCTTGTGATTCTAAGGCCATTTATTTAACTGATATGAAGTACACACAGGAAGATTATCCCTCGAATAATGAAATTTACCCTATAAAAATAACCTACCTGACAGGCCCACATATACAGAACTGTCTAAATAAGTGTAGCTCCATAGCTAAATTTAACTCAAATACGTACTCAATTAGTTCAGGAACTTGGCGCCTGGGTGACTGTGTGAGCTTGAGGCACGGAGGTCTGGTGGCTACTACAGAGTCACGTATTCGCTACTACAGGGTCACGTGCTACTACAGGGTCACGTGCTACTACCTACAGAGTCACGGGCCAGGAGGTCACGTGGTTACTACAGGGTCACGTGCTACTACAGGGTCACGTGCTACTACAGGGTCACGTGCTACTACCTACAGAGTCACGGGCCAGGAGGTTACGTGGTTACTACAGGGTCACGTGCCAGGGCTTGTTAGACGAATTTAGCCCACATAGAACGGAGCTCTGTCAAATTATATTCTGTCATCCTGTCTTGAACTGGTTACATACGGGTTTAATTTATGCCAAGCTCTCTTAACTATGTCAGGATCATGTTTGCCTGTAGTTATCGGACAGAATTTCTTAAAAGTACCATTTGACATTTGCAATCGGACTGGTTTTGAACAGGCTAGATTTATGCCAAGCACTCTTAATAGTGTCAAAAGCTAGACATATTTGAATGATTTGAAGTTTTGACAGAATGGTACTTCTGTAGCACCTTAACCTGATTATCTTGTTACCTACACTAGAAACTCTACCTTATTTGTTCAGAGAATATTAAAATGTTGACACTTTTAAGGAAAATTCTCAGCTAACCGTGCAGTTTGACCATCTGCACTCTACAGTACAATTAGACTATCGGCAACTCATTTGAAGTGTAGCTAGACTATCTGCAGCTAAGTTTACTCTAATGCATTTAGACTGTCTGCATATTCTAACTGCACGATGGTCGCCCCTGGCAGTCCAAAATTCCAGTTTCTCCCTCCTTGCATCTTCTTCAAGATTTATACTGTTACATATTTTCAAAAATTCCGGGACCTCGCCCCCTGAGGCCTGACTAACTTGCTGAACTAATCATTTCACATTGCTATAGTTAAATCCTGAAAGATCTGTAAAATTTCACATACATATTTGGATATATCCGAACATGTATTCGGCAGTAGTGGAAGGAGATGATAAGTTATTGGAATCTTTCCAAGTGTATCGCCCTCTTGTACTACCAATAACCAATATTAACCGTATAACAAGCATGAACTAACTATTCTTTACATCTAAGAGAGCCTTTGTAAGGAGTTTTAATTTATTTCATTCATCCACTCTCATCCCATTTATCGCTTTTAATGCAAACATTTGAATTAATGTGGCCAGCAAATCAAACTTTGGCGTTAAAAACAGATACACCCGAATTTTCAAAGATACTGTAGAATACATTCAAAACATACATCACAGTTTTATATACAGAATGGAACAACAATACAAAAGAGGAAGATAACCTTGCAAATTATGCAAAATACGCAAACTATGCATGAATTCCATGCAACGTCGTAAGAAAAACAGATTATTTTCAAAGTACCGGACCATATAAAAATCTGACAAGATAAACCCAATACATTTAAAAAATAAAGAATATCATCAAAAAACCATGCAAGCAAAAGCAAATAACAGACAATTATTAACTGGAGTTTTCTATTGGTCGAACTAGTCGTTCTCCCTAAGAAAATTACAGACAATTCACTATCCAATTAATTAACAAATTAATTAACTAACCAATGTTGGCCGAACTAGTCTCAATGTCGACTTCTACGTTCTACGCATCGACATCGACCAGTGCGACCGGGCTATTAAAAACACACCGTTTCAGTGATCATGTTCCTATCGTCCAATGTGAGGAGTACACAACCATTCATAGTGGAACACATGACTGAACCATCAGGATAGGATATCAAGTCTGTTATGCAGCCCATACCAGGGAGACGTTTCTCCAGAATGCACTCTCGTTTTGAAATGTCCCACAACTTCACCAAACTGTCTTTAGATCCAGATATAACGACGTTGCCGCTAGAATTAGACAAGAATTTAACACAGTTAACCCCTTGCTCATTTCCACGCAGATCCCCCAGTAGTTTCTTAGAGCGTACATCCCACAAACTCACCTCGCATCCCGAGCCGTTAAACCCGTTACTGCCAGTAACAATACAGTTACCAGTACTGTCCACATCACAGCAGGTCTGTATGTAGTGTTTCGTGGGGTACACGTGTATGAGCTGCAGATTCCTTGTGTCCCACAATCTAACTCTCTTGTCCTCGCTTGTTTGGACCAGAATGTTCTCGTTAGGGATGAGTTTCATTGCAGTTATCAAGTTTCTGCTCTCAGCTATTGAGTAGAGCAGCTTGCCGGTCTTGATGTCCCAGGCGTTTATACAGTTGTCCCGTGAGCCGGATAGTATCCTAGTGTTATCAGGTGTTATGACTACAGCTGTAACTACTAGGGAGTGGCCGGGGAACAGTGTAGCGGTGGTGCCGTTCCAAAGTCTTACATTAGTGTCTCTACACCCGGTAACCACACCATTGATCAGAGGAGCATTCTCTAATGCAGTGACTGCCTTGCCGTCATGTCTCATGTATGCCTGTACTTTTCCAGTGCTGTAGTTGAAGATGGTGGCGTTACCATCACCCCCGGCAGTGACGACAGTGTGCTTTTGTTGCGAGGGTGCCAGACAGTTCACTGATCCCTGGTGCACTTTACTGTACCGGTGCACGCAATCCCGGCGCTCTGTTGTCGTGTCACCCTTACCTCCGCGCGGCGCGAGTGGTGGCTGCTTTTAGAGCCCATGCAGCTCGTGAATAGCTTCATTACACATCAACCTACAACAAGAAGATTTAGAAGTGAAATAAGTAAATAGAGCGATACAGAAGTCTGTAAAGATTGAGACAAATTAATGATCGACTGGAAATTTTAGGCATTTCAAATTGGGAGGAAGCCAAGAAGGACACAAATAATTACAACAAATTCAAACATGTAAATAGTAATACTAGATTACAATGATAATTAGCAAGGCAGCGCGAAACGTTACCATGTCATAATCAATACAGGATCTCTCAGATACTATCTTACAAATTGGTGTTTAGTTTTACAGCTCGGTGGCAAAATAGCTTAATATGGAAGTTTATTCGATAAACAAGCGTATAAAAATGACATACAATTTTACGAATGATATCTTCATGTTTGACTGTGTCCATAGTTAGAATAATCTGTAACTGTCTCGCGTGAACAATAATGGAAGTACAAAGTAGGTACAGCGGTAACAACAATCTAGCAAGTACGTTTTCCCATTTTTTTCTCAGTTCAACATGCGGACAGGTATGGAGTAAATTCACGAATAGATTTGTCCCGCAAATACTACTTGAAATTATTGATCATCTTCTTGTCGTCTCAATTTGCTCCGTAAGTTTGGTTACTTCTTCTTGGGTGTTCCAAGACTGTTGTACACCCACTCCATTCCATCCTGGGAGATAACCGGAGTGTTGTTTGTTGAGCAATTTCAAAGCTATTTCAAGGAATTGTCTTAGCCAGGTATAAGCCGATCAGAAAAGCATTACGAAAACATTAAGACATAAAGCGTGAGAATCAGGAAAATAATATGACAAGCATGAAAGCATTTCTAGAATAAACAAATATTACAATTTGTGACAAATACGCTACGTTTTAATTACATGTATCAATTATCACTAGTCACGATCTACGACTGTGTAATGTAGACTGAGCACGAAATGAGAGTCTCCATAAAACAACATCAGGTAATGTCGACGTTTTGGCTACATGTGCCTTTGTTACAGACGAATGTCGAAACTACAGTTTATGTATCTGCAACACACGATGGTTAAGGGGGCCGGGGGGGGGGGTTGATGAAGACCCCCCCTGCTCCCTTAACCTCTCACTTCGTCCTCGGTATACAATCATGAGATGGATCAATGACAAGTGTTACGGATTATAGTTCTATATACCTTGATTCCTTCCTTGGTGAGAGCGGAGCAAGCCTGGATCTGCCATTGCCTGTCTCTTATAGCCGAGGATAGTTGCAAATCATTCGCAATCTGCAACAGATATTTAGTGTAAATACATGGCAAATGGTAAATATAAACATTATAACGTACTACGTAGGGATAAGAGATATATATCAATATGAGATTAAAAATTATCCGCGTTTACAAGTCACCCTTCTGATACCAAAACAAAAGAAATGCGACCTCATAATCTAAAACTTAAATCAGTAAGGTTGCAGATTAAATACAATGTTGAGGAGTCAGGCGGAGGAAGTCTCTACCGCCGCAACAAACGCGTGACAGAATATCAAGATAAATGAGTAAATATTGCTACGGACTGATCTCGGGACTTCGTGTGTGGTAAAGCTTTTAGTGTCAGCTCGTAGACAAGACAAACGTCACTTAGCGGCATTATATTTCGGAAAAATTATTGGGCGTCGATTTGGCAGGTAGCTCCTTGATTACCCACTTTAAGTTGATTGGGGAACTTAAAGTATTCATGATATAGACGGAAAAAATTACACAGAACTAACCGGTCTTTAATTTTAATGATCTAAAAAAATAGATCTGGTTAAATACTAAAAGTTTAAAACTCCTTAACAATATATAATACGTTCTTTGAAATAGGACGGTTGTACACTGTACAGTTGTATTTTACTCCAATTTTAAATCTTATTCTAATACCATTTTATTCCGTAAAAACTGTGAATTGACTTTGAATTGACTGTGAATTATAAAATAATACGATTATATATATAGATATAAGCTTCGAGGTGTCACAATAAAAGGCAAATTGGCAGCTCTATGTTATAAACTTTTGGGTGCTGAAAGAGACGAAATTTTAATGGGATCCATTAATAAAAAATGTCGAGTATCCTACGTATTCACCCTCTGACCTCAGTTGACCATTTATTTATAAACTGATATTGCGCAATTTCGAAGTTCCCTGAATCGCAATATTACAGATTAAGTTGGTCTCTGCTAAGTTTTTTCAGAGGTGGGGTCACATTTTGACGTACATCCCCGTTTTACCAGCATCACCTACTTAGAAGCTTCGTGACTTAGTGAGAGAACAAATCAACATGTGACTCGTTCAACAAAGTAGCAATAAGAAACTGGTTCCATCACCAAGGAGGACCTCTCAACACCAGATCTAATTAAGGTAATAATAAGACTGATCTATATTTGGGATATTATAATAACCTCGCTAGGTTTAGCTGATTTGAAGAGATCCTGTTTGTTAGCGTATATCAGGACAGGTACTTTGCTGAGTTTCTCTTCCTCCAACAGTTCCAGTAACTCCTCTCCTGTCTCGTCGAATCTCTTCTTGTCTGAACTGTCTATAACGTATATCTGAACAAAAACAATGGTTATTTTAACCAATGTCAATAACGTATATCTGAATAAAAAACAATGGTTATTTTAACCAATGTCAATAACGTATATCTGAATAAAAAACAATGGTTATTTTAACCAATGTCAATAACGTATATCTGAATAAAAAACAATGGTTATTTTAACCAATGTCAATAACGTATATCTGAATAAAAAACAATGGTTATTTTAACCAATGTCAATAACGTATATCTGAATAAAAAACAATGGTTATTTTAACCAATGGCAATAACGTATATCTGAATAAAAAACAATGGTTATTTTAACCAATGTCAATAACGTATATCTGAATAAAAAACAATGGTTATTTTAACCAATGGCAACAAGTAACAACGAATAAATGGTATTTCCCCTCTCATGGTAATAACAGCCGTCAAATAATTTTTTATTATATCGCTTATAAGTTATATTGTGAAGTTTGCCGTGATCCTTCATTAAGTAATCACATCAAACTTGAAAGTTATTTACATTCTATCGCAAGAAATATCTTTTGTGCCGTCAGCCTTTATAAAAAAATAACTGATTAAGTAACCCACGAAAAACTGGCCGCTATCAAAAAATGTGTCCGCTTATTGTTTCATGTAAACGATCAAAATGCAGGCACTAGCCATGAGTGAGAGTTTGTCCAACTCCATTGTCGACTGTAAGCCTCTATGCATGACCATAGTTACCAGGGGAGTTTGAGACGCAAAAACACCATTTTCCGGCAGTGTCAAAACAGTACAAGTTTCTATTCGGTACACAATATATTTACAAGTACAAATCCGGCCTAAATATATATTTTTAATTCAGCTTACTATACAGCTTACACCATCAAAAGGAGTAGACGTACTTTAATGGTATTACACATCAACCGAATCGATGAACAATCAACGGGATGTTAATCACTTAATCATTAACATAGATTTTAAAATGTGAATCTCCATTCTCCATCAATCCATACTACGAGTAACAAAGAATTCCTGTTACCATGACATCACGTCAGATGTACAATAAGAGTTAATCAGTGCACAGTGCGTAGGGCCGATCAAACAATTAATTCAGCTCAAACTATCGAAATGGGTGCTCGCCATGATTTTATCAACTGGATATCTATAAAGTGACTGTAATACCTTCAGTTACCAAGAGAGCTAGAGATCACGAAGGGGCATCGAATATATATATGTATGAGAGTAAAAGACCAAATTCATAACATTAATTTTAGTGGTAGTTTCAAAACAAAAACTAGGGAAAACTTCTTTCGGGAACACAATAGAATTACACATAAAATTGCGGCCTAAAATTTCAAGGTTTATCAACTGAAATAGTGAGCAATTATAGAAATGGTAAACACAAAACAGTTATTAAATACTAATTATAGAGATTAGAGACTGCATGTCAAAATCGACTCAGACTTTAAGTCGCCACGAATTTTGTAACGATTGTAAGTAGTAACAGTATGGGGCCATCTATCTTCTCCTACATTTTTTGAGCAATCATCCTTAAACTTTCAGGATATGTTCTAGGGCTCATTTAGAAGAGATGAGCCGGACAGAATTTTAAGGTAGGCCTTTAAAAAATTTTTACTCGATTTTGAAAATCTTGGACCTCAAAAAATCATCAAAAAACGAGGTTTGAGGGTGATTGCTAAAAAAATGTAGGAGAAGATAGATTTTTAGACTCGATTTTTAGGCGTGCCATCAAAAATCGCTCGTGCAATACAATTACACACATGTGCTGACCTTTGACTGGCAATAATTTCGGCTAGGAACAATATTTTTCCATGGGATCAAAACTTCAAAAGCATCTAATAGATATCACTCCTCTCTATTAAAAACAACTAAAAAGTCGATTTTGAGAAAATTTCCTTGAAGACCCCCCTGCCCCCTTAAGTTGATATGAAGTTGATTTGAAGTAGATATGAAGTAGATATGAAGTTGATATGAAGTTGATATGAAGTTGATATGAAATTTATATTAAGTTGATATGAAGTTGATATGAAGTTGATATGAAGTAAATTCAAAATAACGGTAAAAATTCCCCCTAGCGCTGTTGACAGGTATAACCAATCTTAACCGCTATTAAACTGAGAGCACTCTAGCTCAATATTTCAGGATTTGTTTTACTTCAGTATTTATCAAATATCAACACTATACTCGCTACAAGACGAGTATTATATATTATACTAAGCTGTATTTTGAACCATTTAAAATAAACTGTGCGCAATCTGCTCATATTATATGTTAATTTTGCTCTTGTTGCCGCTTCTGCGACGGGAGTGCAAGGTGGCAAGATAAGCACAATTCAGGTTGTATTATATCTAAGTTAAAATAAGTGCAATGTAAATTAATGATACTGACCAGCACATCCGTATTTTCAAAGTAATTCTTCCAGTAGGGTCGGATCTTCTTCTGTCCTCCGATATCCCACACATTCAACTTGAAACCGGTTGTAGCAACAGATTTGATATTAAATCCCTGAAAAGAAAACATTAAATTGTATCAATAAAAAGGATTGTTTGCTCGCACTGAAATGACAGGGATGAACAGGGAATAGGGATGAATGAAAATGAACGGTTATATTTTCGATATTCTATTGAATATTAAGTCGTGATCGTCCAAGGAGAGAAGTTAAAGGAGCGATCAAGCAATTATGATCATAAATGGGTATTCCTGTCTGAAAGTTGTGGGATAACCTTTTAACCTATTAACATACGTCAATGCTCTCAAAAAGTGGTGGGAAAATATGTTAATATATATGACATATGTCAAGATTTTAACCTTCATGCACGAAGCATGAACGATGAAGATGTATCTAGGTTGTCCAAACTAATCACTTCCCGAATCGGTCAGCCATGGGGCTAAAAGATTGGCAGCATGGCTGCACAGATCATGTCTTATAAGGCCAGAATGACGCAGCTATCTAGCCAAAATAATATAATTGTGAATATGAGGAAACCGACATGGACAATATTTTAGCCTAAGTTGCTAAATCATCGTTGCATTAATATATGGAGGAGATTATTTTAAGAACTGTCACAGCATATGGCAAATTTCAAGATTTAGGTTCAAGCTATCGGTAACAACCTGGGTGGGCATGATGTGGGTGATGTCTTCATCAGCGAGGGCCTTTAGGATGGTAGTTTTTCCTGCATTATCCAGTCCCAGCAATAATATCCTGACCTCTCGATCCGTTTCCTTCTGGAACCTTCTTAGAAGGGACAGCAGGCCCTGAGAAATTAATCATTTTCTGATTTAAAATAGTGAGAAAAATAAAATACATCATCTATGAAAATAAAATACATAATGTATGAAAATAGATGATACTTTTTCAGAGAATACTTTTTTGTTCCTGAAGGAACCGTCAGAATAAATATTAGCTTACCATTAAAAACTGGAATCTGTACTATAACCTATAAAAATCAAAATCATTAGTTTTAGACAGATTAAACTCTAAAACAGGGAGGGCTGCACCTTTATAATTAAATAGACAAAACGATAAAATTGGAAAAACTTTTTTTTGCTATCCAATCTGGTAAACGTGACTGATAATTATCACACATAATTTGTTAAAAAGGTTATCTGTTTATCTAGATAAAACAGTTGTGGCAGTCAGTACTCATCAAACGATAAAATCGGACTATTAACACACTATTAACACACTATTAACACACAAGTATACAAATTCACTAGAAATTACAGAAAATATTGCCACAATAAAGTGAAATTTGTAGGAAAATCATCAAGAATACTAGTGTTTTTGCCTATCCTCATTCCCAAGTAATCGAAGAAACAGTCCCAAACATCTTCTAGTATGATGAAAGAGCCAGTTCACTTGGACGTGAGCTTAAGAGGTTTGTCTGCATTTGTATCCTTATGTAAGACCTCAGATATTGCTGATATATTGCCACTGATATTGCTTTCTTGAGGAAGTTGCTGGCATTTTATCTTACAACCATTCTGGAAACGGGCACCAGCATGTTACTGTTAACAGGAGTCAGGACTACCGTAATCAACTCAGGAATTTTGCTAGGGGGTGATACATTGTCCTCAGGATATGTTCTTCCAAATCGTCTACAGGAGAGGGAAACTAGTCACTGTTGCTCTACTGTTTTCAAGAGAAGAGAATTTGTACACCACTATTTTCAGAAGAAGGAAACTCGGTGTTCTACTATTTTTGTTTTACTTTTAAAAAAATTTTTTTACTTCAGAAGAATTATTTTATCAGTTTTTAAATCTAGATAAATCCCAAATCGTTACCTAGTTAAATCTAGATAAAAGATTTCGTACCGATAATGGAAAACCTAATTTTGTCCACACTTGTGGCCAAGATGGCAAAATAAAAAACGCCATAAAAAACATCCAATTCCAGCACAACACATTTCTACTACTATGTCGGAGCTAAGTCCGATCTACGCCAGAAAACCCCCTCCATATATCCCTGTCCCGCATCAGGGTTCGCAGTTCCTCTTTAGAGTTTGTCCCAACTTCCTTCAGTAACATAGACAAGTAGCTTTGTCTTGGTCGGCCTTGCTGTGCTCTACCGTGCGTAGGTTCCCATAAGACTAAATCACTGGCAAGTAGCTCAGGATGTCGGATGCAGTGTCCCGCCATTTTTAATCTCCTGCTTCGTAACTTGTTTGACAGCCTTGGGAGGCTACCATACAAAGTTATATTGCTGACCTTGTCCTTCCATGAGATACCCAGCACCATACGCAACATCTTTGTGTATGTCCCGTCCAAACTTTTCTCTTGAGCCTTTGTCAGTGTCCAGGTTTCTGATCCGTAGAGCAGTACTGATTCACAAGCCGCTATGAACAATCTAATCTTTAGGCTCTTTGAAAGTTTGGATTTCCAGATATCCTTCAGTCTATGTAGGGCACCCCACGCTTTTCCCTTTCTAACCCTTATCTCCCTATCTGTGCTCTCAATCCAGGAGCCTAAGTAGATGAAATCATCTACATTTTCTATGGCTTCCCCGGATCGACTTTGTAGGTCGCTAGATCGATCCTCCATATTCAGTGTCATGACCTTGGTCTTGCCTTCGTTTATGTGTAGTCCCACGCTTGCTGCCGCCGATTCTACTCTGAGCAGGAACTCGTTAGCCTTGTCCATGTCCTCAGATATAAGTGCTATATCATCTGCAAAGTCCACATCGGTGATGATCTTGGGCCCCACTCTTCTGCTTTTTCTACGTTCGAGGGTGAGTCCAAGTCGCTCCGCATCATCGCCTATGGCTTGCCTCATACAGTAGTCGATGACTATTGCAAAGAGGTAAGGTGCTAAGGTATCACCCTGTAACACACCTGCAAGTATCTCGAACAATTCAGTTTCTCCGTCTGGAGTTAGGACTTTGGCCATTGTCTTCTCGTACATGAGCCGTATAAGCTGCACGATTTTGACTGGAATGCCGTAAGCTTCTAGAATCTTTAGCATTTTCCCACGATGTACACTGTCGAAAGCCTTCTTAAAGTCTATAAATGTCAGAACAGCTGGCAGTTTCCGACTCTTGACACCCTCTATAAGACGTCTCAGTACCAATATCTGTTGAGTTGTTGACCTTCCTGGTCTGAATCCATTCTGGTTTCTACGCAGAATTGTCTCGATTTCTGGCTTCAACCGGTTTAGAACCATCTTGTTTAGAGACTTGGCAACTAGGGATGACAAGCTTATTCCCCGATAGTTCATTGGTTCGCTAAGGTCGCCCTTCTTTGGAATTGGTATGATGTTGGCAGTTGACCATTGGTCTGGTTTCTCACCTTTCAATAGAGCATTGTTACAGAAGTCTAAGACAATTTGATCAAGGTCGCATCGTTTTAAGACTTCTGGGGCTATGTTGTCGTCACCCCATGCTTTCCCTTCCTTTATGCTGGACTTTGCTTTTCTGTACTCATCCAACGTAAACGGTTCTGTTCCGATATTCAGAGGTGGGTGGACTGGATCAATATCCTCTTCCGCGTTCTCTACCGTCGGTGGTGAGCCGAGAAGAGTAGCAAAATAGTCCTTCCATTTCTGAACCCTTTCCGTTGGTGAGTTTCCCTTGATTTTGCCAGTATATGATGGAGCTTTACCTGTGATCTTGTTGATCATGGTCCAGCTTTTAGCATGTCTGCCCTGCCAACTTGCTTCCTCCAGTTCCCGGACCTGCCCCTCCAGCAGGTGCTCTTTGGCTGCTTGATAAGCATCGCCTAGCTTCTGTTTGCCCTCTTGGACAGCTATTCGGTTGTCTTCTGTAGCATCTGAGTGGTATTTTATGCTACATTCCCTCAGCTTCAGCCTGGCAATTTCAACACTTGGAGTCGCTGAGATTTTACATCTTTTCTTTTTCTCCTTTTCAGGTAGTAAAAGTCGAGAAGTTGTCCTATTCGCATCAATAAAGCATTGGTACCTTTCTGTTGCCGTCTGATCATCCTTTTCAAGTATGGAAAAGCGGTTTTTAACTTCCACTGTGTACCTCTCTTGTAGAGCGATATCAGTTTTAAGTTTAGACCAGTCCAGAACCGGAGCCCTCTTCTCCGTCTTGCTTATCCGTAGACTAAGCTTTACCCTTGCTACGACTACTCTGTGATCCGAGCCAATACTGTGGAAACTACCATATGCTTCGGAGTTCTTGACGGAGTTCCGCCATTTCTTCCGGCAAATGATGAAGTCGATTTGAGATTTACTTTGACTCATATCTGAGAGATATGTCCAGAGTTTACCTCTTTGCTTCTGAAATCTGGTGTTTGTGATTTCTAGCTGTCGCTCCAACAGCATATCCTCTAGCAGTCTACCATTTCGGTTTGCTGGACCCTTGTGGAAGGATGTCCAGTTTCCTGATGATGAGACATGCGCATTGAGGTCTCCTACAACGAATAGTAAGTTGTGGGCTGGTATCTGGTCGATGGCACCACCAAGGCTGTCGTAGTAGTTTTCTGCTTCGTCGACAGTCGCCCCCTCTGTCGGGCTATAAGTCACAATAACAGTTGTGACCGGGTTCCCTGCAAAGTTGGCTACCATCGTCCTCCTGTCATGTGAGTATACACTAATCAATGAGTTGAATACTGTCTTTTTGTCCAAGACAATACCAACCCCACCAGCAGCCGCCCCATTGCTGGTTCTCCATGCCGAAGTTGTTATGAGGTGAGAGCTTCCAAGATCTTGATACTCGATTTCAGTGCTATGTACTACCCGATGCTCCTGAATGCCCAAAATATGTACGCCACTATCCCTCATGCATACACCCAGCTCACATTTCTGTGGAATTAATCTGTGGATTCTCTTGCAATTAGCATCATTTGATTTGAGTAGATAGTAATTTTTGAGCGATGACTTACAGTCACCAACTGTACAAAAGGCCCTCTACACAACTACTCTTGGCATACCCTCCCCCTTCTAATGTAGAGAAACAAATTTTGGAGAAACAAATTTTTAATTCTATCCCATATTTACAATCATCCCCTTTTGGCGCCCCTCCCTAAAATTGAACAAATTAGGTGATTTTAGAGGATACACCAGTAAAATCTCTAAAAAAGTGTATTTCTAGAGTAAAACGCGCAGTTTTGCTAGTACCTCGTTAAGTTTTTCAAAATCGTCCCACATTCAAACGATGATTTTGCGCCCCCTAAGATGGCGCCCCACAGCGGGGTCAGCAGGGCCCTTTGTTACGCCACTGTTGTCATTAAGGATCAGAAAATGATCAACTAAAAATGAGAAGGTTCTGTGTGAAATCGGCGAGAAGCCTATTATAGGCAGGAACTGCTGTCGACTTGGAGCTCAGAAAGAAAATGTCTCCAGACCAGTCAACAGTCAATTCCACGTTGAACAGCTCTGATCATACAACCAAGGTGATCAGAAACACCAGCAAACTGTACACACTAAGTAAAATACAATTTTAAGTAAAATACAATTTTTATTTTCCACAGAAGAATCAATACATATTGAATTATATATATCCGATAATTCCATTAATAATCATTAAAAGTTGCTTTGTCATTTGTAAAATCAAAAACGAAAAGCCGTACGCTGAACGCGCGCAGCATCTTTTCTGTAGCTGCCTAACTTGTAGCCGCTAACATCAAAGCCGCCGCGCACGCCGAGTGCTGGGGTTCATTCTCATTGACAATTAAACTTGGTCAAAGATATTTATATACAATTCCTAAATTAAATCAATAATCATGTTAATATGAGTATTCAACACTACTCGACAACAAATATCTGCCAGCCCATCGACGATTCAGTCGCCGAAACAAAAATCAAATGTTTGCTTTTTCGTTTCGGGAACTGTTTGAACTCAGTATTATATCCGACTAATCATACTTTATAATGGTTAAAAACAAAGTAGAAAGATTTTCCTGGATGGGCCGGCATTCGCAACCGCGAAACAATTTGAGTACGACAAACGATGACACCACCACCAGCCCTTAATTGATAAGTCCATGGGGGACGGGATAAAGTAAAATTTGTAATTTCATATTGCCTATAACGATTGTGAGTTATGACGGACTTAACTGTACGGGTCAACTACTAAAACTGCATTGTATACTATCTTAATCATTATACTGGACATGATATGACGAAGTATCTTAAGCAGCACTTTATACCTCCACTTAGAACTTGATTAGTCACGAACAATAGAATCATTATAAATCAATACAATAAAACATTTTGATCAATAAATGCCTAGCAGCACCAGACAGCGGCCGTGTACCTTTTTCGACTCCATACCACGGAGTCCCTGATGGACTTTTGTTTACTTTTGTTAATAATTTGACCGCAACCTTTCTTTCTCGAAACACAAATCCTACTGTACTTCATTACAGTATTAAGATAATATAAAGCAAATCATGTGAATATATGACTACGAAATAGATCTATAGATTTGTCCATAATATTTAATACCGTATTGATGGTTTTGAATTTTGTATATTGAATTTTAATGTGAAGCGTTTACTCTTCCCCCTCGGCAATTAATTAGAAAGTAAGATTAATGACAATAATTGCCAAATGACGTAGTAGATATAGATGTTCAATGTTGTAGAGTGATTTCAAGAGTAGTGGTCCACAGGGGTCCGAAAAAGCCGTACAGGCACTTGGGTCCTTATCCTTGTCACTAGTCCCAATTGGATTCACTTTACACAAAACATGAACGTTTACAATTTAGTCGTACACATTGGCACGATATTTATTAGAAAGCAAACATTATAAAATAATACGTGCGTGCGCGGCTTGAGCCGCGCCGCATAACAATTTATGCGTTTAGGGGCTGGAGTACGCGTGTTTACAGATTAATGAATTGTTGCATTGTAAATATTTAAAGTTGACGATATATTATGATTAGATTTAATAGTAAATTTTTCCAAGCTGACTTTGGACTTAGGTAAAATTATAATTTATTTATTTTAAAGAAAAAACCACGGATAGTTTTAAATTTACATAGTCGTATAACTATAATCAAGTTAATCCTGTTTTCAAGAATGCGCGGCTTTGGCGGCCAGTTATTGACTTGTACATAAAATTGAATTTTAAATAGAAATGTGAATGTATTAAAATTTAAAACTTTCAAAACGGAGGCTTATAAATATTATTATATTATGATTGTAAAATAAAGGATAAAATTTTAAATTTGTTTCACTAAAAATTTGTTTCACTATCACCTATCACCTAAGTTACTTTGCATATACTGCTTCTAGTTACACGCTAGCGATCTCAGTTGAGGGGTATATATCAGTGTACACTGTATATCTTATCTGCACTGATAGATCTGTCGGGAAATATAAATGATAAAGCTTACACCAAGCTAGTAGAACTTGGCTGAGACTGAAACGAATTACTACAGAGCCTGACAAGTTTCATAGTATTACGAACAATATAGTGGTTGCGATAAATTCATTAATATAAATAATTCGTGGATCTGTAAACGTGGAAAATCTGCTTCGCTAATTCGCCACAACTCCCTGAGAGCACATATTAGATGTACTAGAATCCATTGGAAAGGGCATTGTTACTTCATTATCACGATCCTGCCAATAAGGCTTCTGGAGGCTGGAGCTTCAGTGAACTTGTACACTACCGATGAGGGGCAAAAAATACTTATAATCATTATAACAAAAGGATTATTATATTAGAGTTGAACGTAATACTTTTACATAACACCTGTGGTTCTACCAACGACAAGTGGAATGATAAGAAAGGAGAACACCTTTTTTTCGATCTTACTGATAAGCTATCGAAAAAATCTGGTCAATCTTACTATATATAAAGCGAGACAATTTATATGGATGGATCCATATCATTTAACTGACACCACAGTATCAACTTTAACGCGACTTTCCGCAAAAACCGTTAAAGATATACAACTAAAACTTTTTTGACTGGGTCAAATGCTTTAATGGCCTACAAATCAGCATGAAAAAATAAAAAATTGGCTAAGAAATACGAGTTTTAGAGCCCAAAATTTGGACCCCCAAGCAGTGGCGTAACGTTGCCTGTTGGCGCCCCCTGCCGAAAAGGCGCCCCCTGTTGGCGCCCCTCCCTAAAATTGAACAAATTAGGCGATTTAAGAGGATACGCCGGTAAAATCTCTAAAAAAGTGTGTATCTAGAGCAAAACGCGCAGTTTTGCTAGTACTTTAGTTAAGTTTTCGAAATTGTCCCACATTCAAACGACGATTTGGCGCCCCCCTAAGACAGCGCCCCCCTGCACAGCGGGGTCAGCAGGGCCCTTCGTTACGCCACTACCCCCAAGTCGTGTCAAAAACGCGAATTTAACAGGTTATAATTATTTTAGTGGGGGGGTGTCACGTCCGTCTATGTCCGCTTGTCTCATAGAATCCAAAAAGGACAGGACATAGGCGGACATAGGCGGACATAGACGGACATAGGCGGACATAGGCGGACATAGACGGACATAGGCGGATATAGGCGGACATAGGCGGACATTAATGGACACCTAAATTGCTAAATAAAATGTTCAATTTTGCTGTTATAGGGGGATCATGTTTTTTGTCCGTTCTGTACCCTTTGGAAAAGTATGGTTGTCCGGTAAGAAAATTTCCCTTGAAAGAAAGCTGAGGTTATATGATGCTCAAGTTGTATCTGTATTGATTTACAACTCAAATAGTTGGAGTCCTAAGAAAGCAACCATGGAGAAAATGGACACACTCCATCGTAGACACCTCAGGTCCATTTTAAACATCAAATGGCCTAAAGGTATGATAAGCAACAAAGCATTGTATGAAAGGTGCAAAGTTGAAAAGTTATCCAAGCGTATTGAACACCAGCGGTGGAAGATGTTTGGACACATTCTCAGGAGTATGGAGAACACCCCAGCCCAAACGGCTCTCTCTTTTGCTATTGAATCAGATAATTTATTCATTGGTAGATTGGGGAGACCTAGAATGAACTTGTTATCGGTTTTAAGAAGTGATTTAAGTAGTAGAAATTTGCAAATGGACAACTTGCATGAATTGAACGAAATTAGAGATATAGCTGCATGCAACAGATGTTGGGAAAATCTTTTTCAAGGGTACAGTTTACCGCATTAAGGTATTTTTAAGAATCATTTTTGTCGGTAAGATCCTGTTTTATAATAATAATAATGTACCCTATATTTTCAAAACGGACAAAAAATAGAGCGGACAAAAACGGACAAAAATGGACAAAAACGGAAAAAAATGGAAATAAAATTTAGATGCTTCCTCCTCCTACTCTTCCTCCTCCTCCCCCTGGGTCTTCCTGATCTTCCTCAGTCCTCTTCCTCCTCCCCTCCTTAGTCCTCCTTCTACTCATCCTCCTCGTCCCCAGTCCTCCTCAACAGTCCTCCTCCTCCCCAGTCCTCCTCCTCCTCCTGAGTCCTCCTCCTGGGTCCTCCTCCTGGGTCCTTCTCCTCCTCTTCATCCTCCTCCTCTTCCTCCTCAGTCCTCAGTCCTCCTCCTCATCCTTCTCCTCAGTCCTCCATCCTCCTCCTCAGTCCTCCCCCAGTCCCCCTCCTCCTCCTATTCAGTCCTCCTCCTCCTCCTCCTCCTTCTCAGTCCTCCTCAGTCCTCCTCCTCCTCCTCCTCCTCTTCCCTCTCAGTCATCCTCCTCAGCCATCCTCCTCAGTCCTCCTCAGTCCTCCTCAGTCCTCCTCCTCCTGGGTCCTCCTCCTCCTCTTCATCCTCCTCCTCTTCCTCCTGATCCTCGGTCCTCAGTCCTCCTCCTGGGTCCTCCTCCTCATCCTTCTCATCAGTCCTCCTCCTCCCCAGTCCTCTCCCAGCCCCCCTCCTTCTCCTCCTCCTATTCAGTCCTCTCCTCCTCCTCCTCCTCAGTTCTCCTCAGTCCTCCTTCTCATTTCTCCTAAGTCCTCCTCCTGAGTCCTCCTCCTGAGTCCTCCTCCTCTTCCTTCTGAGTCCTCCTCCTGAGTCCTCCTCCTCCTCCCTCTCAGTCATCCTCCTCAGTCATCCTCCTCAGCCATCCTCCCCAGCCATCCTCCTCAGCCATCCTCCTCAGTACTCCTCAGTCCTCCTCCTTCTCAGTCATCGTCAGTCCTCCTCCTCAGTCCTCCTCAGTCCTCCTCCTCCTACTGGGTCCTCCTCCTCCTCCTGGGTCCTCCTGGGTCTTCCTGATCCTCCCCAGTCCTCTTCCTCCTCCCCTCCTCAGTCCTCCTCCTACTCTTCCTCCTCGTCCTCAGTCCTCCTCATCAGTCCTCAACAGTTCTCCTCCTCCCCAGTCCTCCTCCTCCTCCTGGGGCCTCTTCCTGGGTCCTCCTCCTCCTGGGTCCTCCTCCTCCTGGGTCCTCCTTCTCCTCCTCAGTCCTTCTCCTCCAATTAAAATACTCGCCAGCACTGTTATACGAAATTCGGTAAAAAACCCAAAATCGCCATATTCAGGTGCCTTAAAAACCATGTTAAAATTGAGTTAGAGATCTGAAATTTTTCAGGGCGTCTAGACGTTGACAAAATCGACTGCAAAAAAAGTTTCAGGTTTCAGGAGCATCGGGAAGTGGGTTTTTTAGAACCCCTGAGAGGGAGGAGGAGGAGGAAGATGACTGAGGAGGAGGAGAAGTCCTCCTCCTCCTCAGTCCTTTTCCTCCTCCTCCTCCCTCTCAGTCATCCTCCTCAGCCATCCTCCTCAGCCATCCTCCTCAGCCATCCTCCTCAGTCCTCCTCCTTCTCAGTCCTCCTGAGTCCTCCTCCTGAGTCCTCCTCCTCCTCAGTCATCCTCCTCAGTTCTCCTCCTCCTCCTCCTAGGTCCTCCTTCTGGGTCCTCCTCCTCCTCCTCCTCCTGGGTCTTCCTGATCCTTCTCCTCCCTCTCAGTCATCCTCCTCAGTCATCCTCCTCAGTCATCTTCCTCAGCCATCCTCCTCAGCCATCCTTCTCAGCCATCCTCCTCAGTACTCTTCAGTACTCTTCAGTACTCTTCAGTCCTCAAAATGTTTGTCCGCTAATGTCCACCAATGTCCGCTAATGTCCACCAATGTCCATCCAAGTCCGCCAATGTCCGTCCGGGTCCGCCAACGTCCGTCCGAGTCCGCCAATGTCCGTCCGAGTCCGCCAATGTCCGTCCGAGTCCGCCAATGTCCGTCCGTGTCCGCCAATGTCCCAAAAAACACGTCCGTTGTCTCATAGAATCCAAAAAGGACAGGACATAGGCGGACATAGACGGACATGACACCCCCCCTTTAGTCTCTTGAGTCTTGATACCATTTTAGGGTGATCATCGCCCTTAGAGGAGAAAGAGGATTTAAAGAATAAAAGTGCTGTAAAAAGCAGACTTAGACACAAATTTAGAGCCTCATTGAACCTACATCAATTATAGGGTGAGTGGAATGTACTACCCGTATGAAACCCTTAAAAACTCAATCACAAAAATTTGTCATACTATGTCTGAAAAAGCTTGTTGGCACTTTAAGATTTCGGAGGAGCTGTAGATCTTTATGGAACCACTGCTTTTAGTTTTTACAAATTGCTATAAACCCAAGAATACCATACCCTTAACGATTTCATTGTAGTTCTTTCAGAATTAGTGGTTGCTGTTTAAAGATTTTTTGCTATGTTGCCTTCTTCAGTAGTATTGTCTTGGTGATCATGTGCACATGCACCCTTAACTTTTAGAATAAGAATAAGATGCTGTAAACTTATCTACATCCCATTTCTTGACTACTGAGCTCTAAGCTGTTTTAATACTTGATACTATCATGCAAGCTTTTCACTCTTGTCCTAGCAGGAGCTCTTATAGAACTACGCCATCGACTAGCAGAGTCTCCCCCACACATACCCAATCCCCCTATTTCAAAAGAAGGTATGCCACTGGAGTCAGCGTATTCAGATGATTGTAACTTCATGAACGTGGAAAAAGAATCCTTAGAAGCTATCCTACCAATAGCTAAGGAAGTCTTCAAGGAGTTTAACCTGTTCATTAACACAGAGAAAACATAATTTACCCATGTTTTCCTCGCTCCTGTTGGAGAAACAATCCCTGGTCGTGATGATACCATGTTACGTGGAAATGAAGATTGGCGGAAGAGTAAGATTCTTGGGTCATTGTTGTGTAGTGAAAGTGATATATAGCTGCTCGATGCATTGCTGGGAACAATGCCTTCTATAAGTTCACCAAGATCTGGTCTCAGCAGAATATCTCCGTTTCCAGAAAGATAGCAGTATACATACGAAGCCCAAATTGTATCAATCATCATGTACAATTGCAATAGTTGGTTTCCTACTGCAAAGTCACTAGAAAAACTAGACATTTGCCATAGAAAACACCTTAGATCATTACTGAACATTTATTGGCCTCATGGAACAATATCCAATGCAAACTTATACCTAAGATGTAACTCAGTTAAGCTATCAGATCGTGTCCCTAAAGCAAGGTGGAAGCTCCTAGGTCATATCTTGCGTAGTGCTGATGACTCCCCCGCTGCATTAGCGTTAAAGTTTGCTGTCACAACAAACTGTAAAGGGTGCGTCGGTGCGCATCGTAAGAATTTGTTCAAGATTATTGTGAATGATTTGACCCGTAGAGGTTTAAAACTTAACTCTTTGAATGATCTTAATAAGCTTAAGATATTAGCCGATGATCATAGAGTTGCTTGGAGAAACAAATTTTAACTCTAGCTGTCTTGATCTGTACTGATCACCATTTTAGGATGACTTGATTTCTTTTAGGGGTTTTGAATATTTTAATGGTGTAAACAGTTTCTTAATATCATGTCCGCAACCTAAAAATTACATTATAAATACTGAGTGTATCACTTGTCATGCTGCACATCACTAGAACTCGTTAAATATCCCAAATACTAAACCTAAATAGTGTTAATTTCTAATAACCACAAACAGACTTTTAGTGCTAGTATGGATCTTGTCGAGCTGTGTTCTGGACTTCAAGTTAATCCACTCCCGCCACCAAGAGAGAGATGTTCAAATGTAGCTCATGCTCCCAACAGGAACCATAATCTCAATCCCAGTGAAAGGTACTTTTAATCAAGAATTGTATTAATTCTTTTGTCTGGTAATACGATTTTGATAGATTATTCATCAATATCACAGTAACGATTCTGTAATAATTACTATTGAGCTTTCTTATTCTAATTCTTTCAATTGTGCTAAATAACTAATACAACTTACTTCGTATCATTTTTCAGAATCCAGGCAATCAAAAATGCTCTGCGGTATTTCCCTAAGGAGTGTCACAGCGAACTGGCTGCAGAGTTTGCAAAAGAACTGGACGATTTCGGTCATATCTACATGTACAGGTCAGTGTAGTTTATGATTTATCAACTTAAATTATAATCACCTATATATAATGTACATATATACCTATTATCCTTATCCTTATTATTATTCTGTAAAATATCCTGGGACAAGGACATATAAGAGCAATTTGATATAACCTTAGCCTCGTGCGGTAAATAGCACAATCGGATGGGTAGAGCCTTTGCTTTTGCAACACTTTTTTCTGCAATTACACAAGAAGAGGAATCACAAAGAATTCATTTTGTAGAGTGTAAATTATAAACAGCATTATATCAACAATCGTCATATCATACTTAATTAACCTTTTTTTGATTCTGAAACTCGTAAGTTAAACAAGAATTAATAAATATCAGCGGTGCTTCACTAAGTGACAGAATTTAAATAATTTCCTAGATCATATCAAGTCAAGTTCAACACTATAACTATTCACTACTTAATCAGTTAATCTCATACTAATGTTAAATCTTTAAAATAAGTTCCATTATAAGTATTAACTTAGTTAGTATTAACTTAACTAAATATTTATTTTATTAACGCTAATGTTTGTGTTCGTTGCAGTACTTCGCGATCATATCCATGACATGGTAATCAAGTTGACCAATAGACGGTGCCATGCCCGAGCAGGCTGAGTACCCAGAGTGCATTATCGTCTTCTCTCCTTTTAGGTGTCTGCAGATTGGGCATTCATAACATCTAATATTTATATTCAACTTAATTAAATTGTAAAGTATAAACTTTGTGTCCATTCTCTTACCATGTGCAAAATTTTTTATATTGGACTCTTCAATTCATGTTGTTTTACCCAAATTTGAAATATCGTGTCCATACTCACTTGATTCCCACTGCATGACCGATCTCATGGGTCAGTATATCTTTTAGAACTGCATAAGCTGTCACGTGGGTATAATGATGTGTTCTGAGATCCTTACAGCTTTCTATCCACAATATACGCGCGTTTATGTGTACTTCAGATCCTGAAACGCTAATTTTAGCTGTTTGTCGGTTTTGTTCCTCCAGTAGGTTTATACACAGTACATACAATGTACCCAAGTCCCTAACTGTTATAGACTTAAAAGGATGTAGTATGTACTATACAACTACTGTTTACTGAAGACCATGTGAATCCATTTGATTATACAATTAAGATATCTTACCTCCTTCTGGGTTGAAGGTATGTGCTAGCACGTAATTGGTTTCCGGAAAAGCTTCTGTCATCACACAAGGAGATCTGACACATCTGTGCTTCCCTTCTTTAAATGATATCAGAATATCTGCATTCTTCTTGGACTCTGCTGGCAAAAAACTACGGAAAGCGGAAAAATTATGTTCGTTCCTTAGATACTGTATAAATGTCGGCAGTATTTGCCTCTTCATCTGTTATATTCGATAGAAAGTGAGTTTTATTTCCAACAGCAACTAAGTTAGAACTAAATTAAGCGAACGTACGAATCATAAAACACATGTATCTTCTTACCTGAGTGAATTACCAGAAGCGCGGTTCCAAGCCTCAAATGAGATAACAACTTGTTGTTGAACAGCTTGTTCTGACATACTGGTCCACGGTGGATAGTTCTCTAAACTGTACGTGACAATGTGCTGATCACCATTCCCACATAGTGGCTGAAGAGGAATACAATCTCTAAACTCTAAAGTTATAAGTGCAACATTGGAATAGATTTCATTTGTTTTCAACACACACTTTTGTTATAGTGTTTAGGAGCAATACAATTTGAACCACAGTATGGATGATTTTAACAGTCAACATGCTTACTTTATAGAAATAGGGGAGTTTCGTAACAGCAGCACACTCGATAACTGTAAAGGCAAGAAAAACCAACGTCCAAGATGTAACGAAGATGAACATGATACCAACAACTGAATTCAACACTGTAGTATTGAAAACTGAAGATGGAAGATATACGTATCCAGCCATCTACTCAAAGTCCGCTTTTAGGAGATCTGTGTGTTTGCACAGAAAACACTTCTATTTCTTATGTATTTTGCGGTACTTTTAGTGACGCACGTTTTTCGTCAATCGTTACGTAACAAAAGCATAAACAAAGCTTCAGTACCGAGTTAACAGTGAAATCTATATTGCATCAATTACGCTTAACATCGTCATCAATGAGTCTACAGATCACTGAGTGGAAAAGAATTAATGTTCTAAGCAATAAGCATTGATCACTGCACGTCCGTTTGTAAATAAAATATAAGATGTGTAGTGGTGAAACAATCCCTGTACCACAACAACGCAGGTCATTGAAATATTTCAAACTTTAGGGTTCAGGCACTGTTTCTTTCACAGGTTATGTTTTATTTTCACAACCCTCACCAGGTTTATGCCGGACACTTCACTGATGCGAGCATACCCGATATCAGAGTACAAGACAAAGCTAGTGGAGGGAGCAGCTGTGATACTCATGATAATGAACAACTTGGACTGGAGAGTCGCACAGTTCCCTGAGGAGCTGGTTACTTACGGTGGTAACGGCCAGGTTAGGGACTTGTTACTTACGGTAGGAACGGCCATGTTAGGGACTTGTTAATTACGGTGGTAACGGCCATGTTAGGGACTTGTTACTTACGGTGGTAACGGCCAGGTAAGGGACTTGTTACTTACGGTGGTAACGGCCATGTTAGGGACTTGTTACTTACGGTGGTAACGGCCATATTAGGGAATTTTTACTTACGGTGGTAACGGCCAGGTAAGGGAATTGTTACTTACGGTGGTAACGGCCAGGTAAGGGACTTGTTACTTACGGCGGTAACGGCCAGGGTAAGGGACTTGTTACTTACGGTCTTAACGGCCAGGTTAGGGACTTGTTACTTACGGTGTTAACGGCCAGGTTAGGGACTTGTTACTTACGGTGGTAACGGCCAGGTTAGGGACTTGTTACTTACGGTGTTAACGGCCAGGTAAGGGAATTGTTACTTACAGTGGTAACGGCCAGGTTAGGGACTTGTTACTTACAGTGGTAACGGCCAGGTAAGGGAATTGTTACTTACGGTGGTAACGGCCAGGTTAGGGACTTGTTACTTACGGTGGTAACGGCCAGGTTAGGGACTTGTTACTTACGGTGGTAACGGCCATGTTAGGGACTTGTTACTTACGGTGGTAACGGCCAGGTTAGGGACTTGTTACTTACGGTGGTAACGGCCAGGTAAGGGACTTGTTACTTACAGTGGTAACGGCCAGGTAAGGGAATTGTTACTTACGGTGGTAACGGCCAGGTTAGGGACTTGTTACTAAAGGTGGTAACGGCCAGGTTAGGGACTTGTTACTCACGGTGGTAACGGCCAGGTAAGGGACTTGTTACTAAAGGTGGTAACGGCCATGTTAGGGACTTGTTACTTACGGTGGTAACGGCCAGGTTAGGGACTTGTTACTTACGGTGGTAACGGCCAGGTAAGGGACTTGTTACTTACAGTGGTAACGGCCAGGTAAGGGAATTGTTACTTACGGTGGTAACGGCCAGGTTAGGGACTTGTTACTAAAGGTGGTAACGGCCAGGTTAGGGACTTGTTACTCACGGTGGTAACGGCCAGGTAAGGGACTTGTTACTTACAGTGGTAACGGCCAGGTAAGAGACTTGTTACTTACAGTGGTAACGGCCAGGTAAGGGAATTGTTACTTACAGTGGTAACGGCCAGGTAAGGGAATTGTTATTTACGGTGGTAACGGCCAGGTTAGGGACTTGTTACTAAAGGTGGTAACGGCCAGGTTAGGGACTTGTTACTCACGGTGGTAACGGCCAGGTAAGGGACTTGTTACTTACAGTGGTAACGGCCAGGTAAGGGACTTGTTACTTACAGTGGTAACGGCCAGGTAAGGGAATTGTTACTTACAGTGGTAACGGCCAGGTAAGGGAATTGTTACTTACGGTGGTAACGGCCAGGTTAGGGTCTTGTTACTTACGGTGGTAACGGCCAGGTAAGGGAATTGTTACTAAAGGTGGTAACGGGCAGGTTAGGGACTTGTTACTAAAGGTGGTAACGGCCAGGTAAGGGAATTGTTACTTACGGTGGTAACGGCCAGGTTAGGGACTTGTTACTAAAGGTGGTAACGGGCAGGTTAGGGTCTTGTTACTCACGGTGGTAACGGCCAGGTAAGGGACTTGTTACTTACGGTGGTAACGGCCAGGTTAGGGACTTGTTACTAAAGGTGGTAACGGCCAGGTAAGGGAATTGTTACTAAAGGTGGTAACGGGCAGGTTAGGGACTTGTTACTTACGGTGGTAACGGCCAGGTTAGGGACTTGTTACTAAAGGTGGTAACGGCCAGGTAAGGGAATTGTTACTAAAGGTGGTAACGGCCAGGTAAGGGACTTGTTACTTACGGTGGTAACGGCCAGGTTAGGGACTTGTTACTAAAGGTGGTAACGGCCAGGTAAGGGACTTGTTACTAAAGGTGGTAACGGCCAGGTAAGGGACTTGTTACTTACGGTGGTAACGGCCAGGTTAGGGACTTGTTACTTACGGTGGTAACGGCCAGGTTAGGGACTTGTTACTAAAGGTGGTAACGGCCAGGTAAGGGAATTGTTACTAAAGGTGGTAACGGGCAGGTTAGGGACTTGTTACTAAAGGTGGTAACGGCCAGGTAAGGGAATTGTTACTTACGGTGGTAACGGCCAGGTTAGGGACTTGTTACTAAAGGTGGTAACGGCCAGGTAAGGGAATTGTTACTTACGGTGGTAACGGCCAGGTTAGGGAATTGTTACTTACGGTGGTAACGGCCAGGTAAGGGACTTGTTACTTACAGTGGTAACGGCCAGGTAAGGGAATTGTTACTTACAGTGGTAACGGCCAGGTAAGGGAATTGTTACTTACGGTGGTAACGGCCAGGTTAGGGTCTTGTTACTTACGGTGGTAACGGCCAGGTAAGGGAATTGTTACTAAAGGTGGTAACGGGCAGGTTAGGGACTTGTTACTAAAGGTGGTAACGGCCAGGTAAGGGAATTGTTACTTACGGTGGTAACGGCCAGGTTAGGGACTTGTTACTAAAGGTGGTAACGGGCAGGTTAGGGTCTTGTTACTCACGGTGGTAACGGCCAGGTAAGGGACTTGTTACTTACGGTGGTAACGGCCAGGTTAGGGACTTGTTACTAAAGGTGGTAACGGCCAGGTAAGGGAATTGTTACTAAAGGTGGTAACGGGCAGGTTAGGGACTTGTTACTTACGGTGGTAACGGCCAGGTTAGGGACTTGTTACTAAAGGTGGTAACGGCCAGGTAAGGGAATTGTTACTAAAGGTGGTAACGGCCAGGTAAGGGACTTGTTACTTACGGTGGTAACGGCCAGGTTAGGGACTTGTTACTAAAGGTGGTAACGGCCAGGTAAGGGACTTGTTACTAAAGGTGGTAACGGGCAGGTTAGGGACTTGTTACTAAAGGTGGTAACGGCCAGGTAAGGGAATTGTTACTAAAGGTGGTAACGGGCAGGTTAGGGACTTGTTACTAAAGGTGGTAACGGCCAGGTAAGGGAATTGTTACTAAAGGTGGTAACGGGCAGGTTAGGGACTTGTTACTAAAGGTGGTAACGGCCAGGTAAGGGAATTGTTACTTACGGTGGTAACGGCCAGGTTAGGGACTTGTTACTAAAGGTGGTAACGGCCAGGTAAGGGAATTGTTACTTACGGTGGTAACGGCCAGGTTAGGGAATTGTTACTTACGGTGGTAACGGCCAGGTAAGGGACTTGTTACTTACGGTGGTAACGGCCAGGTTAGGGACTTGTTACTAAAGGTGGTAACGGCCAGGTAAGGGAATTGTTACTTACGGTGGTAACGGCCATGTTAGGCACTTGCTGCGGTACGGCGTTGCAAATCGCATTTTCGCCGGCTGAGTCAATTGTTATATTCCTGTTGATGTCTGCTTTCCGGGGATACGTGTCACACACTGATCAGTAGCCAGGTAGCCTATAATTATAATAACCTGTAGTGTAGCTCTAACCTACACACAGTGTGGATGTACTGGACCACTGGATGTAGTATTAACTGCTTTTTCCTGGAGATTATTCTTAATAAACGAGCGACTGAAAATTTATCGTACTCTGTACGTGGACAGTGATTAATTGAATGTAGCTTAAAATTCTTTATTTGCGGTTAATCAGCCTCCTCTTTTTACATCCTATTAGGCTCACTACATGATTGGTTAAGAATATGATACTTCATGACTCCTGAGTTATGTAAACATTGCAAGTTCTTGTCGAATTTGTCACCTTTTTATGATATCTAGCAGGTTGAATAAGGAACCGAAGTTGTTTAGACGCCCCCAGCTTCTTATCTTGACAAACTGGTCAACCCTGGCTGTTTTTTAGACAAGCTTTAGTGTAATGCGCGGCGCTAAACAATATTTTGCTATGCAAAAGGTGGCTTTTCAGCACTCACTGCGACATAAATGGGCGCGCCGCCACTGATTGGCTATAATGATGATGATGATGTGTCTGATTAAAAACCAAAACATGTTTTACAATGGTTTTACTTCTATTAATTCTAATTATTGACTAATCGTATTGACATATTCTCACGGAACACTGTTTCAGGTGTTTAGTAATTGGGCGCAGTTTAGACTAACTCTACATTATTTGAGTACAATGACAAACGAACAAACCCTCTCCATCATGTCCGGCCACCCTGCTGGTAAGATATATCTTAATTTTTGGCGATAAATTTATGCAAAAATATACACGGATGATCTCTGAAAAAAAAAGTACAATGTGGTCTCGTGTGTTTTACAGTATTTAATATTTATTTACAAAGACGCTTATATTTATTCTGAAAAGTTTAACAAAAGCTCCTAATCAGGTCTATTTCCCTCTCACAAGAGGGCACCACGGGTTGTGATAGCTAACGGTATGATGATTCCTAACTACAGTTCTAAAGACATGTACGACAAACTATTTGCTATGGGTTGTACCATGTACGGTCAAATGACTGCCGGTAAGCTAATGTCAAAAACATGTTTAAGATATGGTTCAATGGTTGCAGATTTTTCAGATTATCATGGCCATCATTTTATATACATTTTGCTGCAGAATGATCTAGTGTCTCGACTACTGTGTACTGTGTAGCCTTTGAATTGAAATTAACCAAAAATTATATTATAGTGCGGCGCTGCGGCAGACTTAAATTAAGTTACAGGGTGGCCCAAAATTCAGCACACGTAAACGTTTTTCTTTATGATAAAGTTATGCCTCCTGTTCATGGCCTAATACTTTAGGTGACATGATGTTACCAGCCATTGCAGGAATCGGTCGTCAGAAAATTAAAATTCGCTTAAAATTCTATCACACTCTTTCAATCTAATGCAGTAGACCATAACGTCGTTCCGGTGAAACCATCTAATTATTATGTGCACTTGATTTCTGTGCACAAAGGGGTCATATAATTATGATCTTCGCTCACTTTGGGGAGATGAGTGCAAGATGAGCGCATAATTAAGTGGTCCAAGTGACAGATAAAGGATATCCAGAAGGAGCAAAGCAAACCTCTTTAAAAGGATTTTCAAATATTTGTTGCACTCGACTTCTGTCCTTTACTCCTTTCATTTCATTAAAATCATGTACAATAAGATCCATACTGTTTATTTTTCAGACCTTTTTTGATAGTATAAAATTAATTCTATCCTCAAATAAATTGTAGGTTCAACTGCAAAAGATAGCGATATTTGTGCTAAGGTATTTTCTTGGCTCCTAACTCCTAAGTATGTATGTGACAGGAGACAACTTAACTGTTGTGAAAGTTTGGGTATATCGCGTTTCTAGTTTTTCAAACTTTAGCCTGTTTTTAAGACTTTCCCATGGGAACTGTGTCGCAAACTTGTGTCGGTTTAAATGCTAAGGACCTTATGAATTAAATTAAGGTAAAAAACACTTGCTATGATGTTTTTTGCATAATCAAATATGCTCAAATGAGATGATGATTTTGGCCATCTTAGGGTATATTCACATTAAATCAACATAATATGATGATGACAACATAGTTTTTAATAAAAGTGATAAAAGCCACTTTGAAAAGGATGATTAAACTATGCATTGCATAATTAAATATGCTCACATGAGATGATGATTTTGGCCATCTTATAAACCAACATGATAATTGATATGATGATGACAACATAATTTTTAATAAAAATATAGCAAAAATCTACTGTTAGCGCTGGCCCTCTACTGAAAATCGTATTGTTATACCGAAATTTTGGTATATATATTTTACTATCGAAGAGTTCGATTACAGTTTTATATAATATATACACTATACATACTAGTATAGCAGGAACCAGTCTCAAGACTCGAGAGACTAAAATAATGATTACTTATTTAATTCGCGTTTTTAACACCACTTGGGGGTCCAAATTTTGGGCACTAAAATTCTTGTTCCTGGGCCTGTTTTTTATTTTTTCATGGCCATTATTATTAAAGCATTTGAACCAGTCAAAAAAGTTCAAGTTGTATATCATTTACGGTTTTTGTGAAAAGTCGTGTTAAAGTTGATGCCGTGGTGTCAGTAAAATGGTACGGATATATATATACATAAATATATCGTCACGCTTTATATATAGTAAGATATACTGTAATATTTAACACTGCAAATCTGCAATGAAAGTCTTTTCGATAGTTAAAAATACATCCTAAAGAGTTGATCAGTCTCGCATATGAAACAACTATCTAGGATCTTTAAAATCATGTAAGTTTGATATAACGGAGTATTGTTTATTATACACATTTATTACGAGCAACCTTAAACTTATGTTGATAGTTTAAGTTAGAATACTATTTTATGGTCAATATTGTTTACAAATTTAAACTGTTATATAGGCTTCTATTATGTTTATAATATTTATCACTAGGACATATAAAATGGTTCGTCGTAGTACGATTGGCATACACGACACAAGTTTGAATTCGAAGTTGCGACTCCCGAATCGTTTTGTAGACGATATAATGCTGCTCATGCGGGCCATATTTTACTATTACTTTTCTTCTTTCCCCATATCCCATTATAAATTGTGTGTTACTCCCGTGTTACTGATAAAACGTATTTCTAATTGGTTGTATATATTTGTTTGTAATACTAATATCTTAATATGTTTGATTGAAAAAAATAGGCGAAACTTAAATCAGTCTGGCCACGTCAACGTGAAATTATTCAATTCTGTTTATGTTTGTCTTATGTTTGTTTTAAATGACTGCTTAGTAGGAACGGGCGTCTGCAAGTTGACCGTAAAAACTGCATATGTGAATAATTTCCACTGAAATGCTATGTTTATTTCTACAAAAATGCTGGCTGGAAACCCACCAAAGCTTTCTTTCTCGCATGTGTGTGATAAAGCCTACTTCTACCCTTAAATTTGGCTGTCAATACCTTAAAGTTGGCATGAAGGCTCAACGCAAGCCACCCAAGCTACTCAACCTCAGCATATATTCTGGTCGGATTCTATCCCGGCACTTGTTTCTGACCAAATATGCAAGATTGTCATTCCCTAATAAGAACAGAGTCTCGCTTTGGTGGGCGTGGAGTTTGCTAATGGGTTCACACCAGTCGACAGGTGTCTGGCAGGGATTTGAAATGTTTGTGGTCAACTTATCGCTGCAAAGTTCCAGACTTCATTAGATCTTCCTGGAGTTATGTTCTCGTCATTACTAAAATTATCGCTTTAAATAGCATAGCCTAATAGCCTTTCACCCTCACTGTAGTCAACCAAATTGCCCTACCCCCTTACCTTAACCAAAGAAGCCACTCAAATTGTATCAAATCGTATTATGACAGTCGTCAGACCTGACTGAAGTGCCAAGATATATCATCTATAAGTTGCTTCAACCGCAATTTAACGTGAACTCTTGACTGATGACCGTGGAAGAACTAGATATTATTTTGCCCAGCGTTACCACTACCACCAATACTCCGTACAGAACCCGCAGGAACTGTTAACTTGCAAATTACTATCATCAAAATTCGGATTCCTGCCACCTAGAATCTCATAAACCCTCTTACAGTTTAAATTATTACGGTGTCCATCTCATCAGCAGTGGGCTCGACTGGTGCTTATCAGTTACTCAGACATGAAGTTGTGGTGAACATACGGCCGGTGACTTGGGGATCATTTATGTGCGGCCAGCGTGACCACCTATTTGAGCCTGCACCGTTCATAGACACTGGTGTGGTATTTTGGGCTGCAACTTGCAAGTTGGATTTTAATTAATTAAAATGAAATAAGATGCTCTGAATCTCAAATGAGCAGTAATATCAAGCTAGTACTACTTGGCACTAACTGACTAGCTGGTACTAGTTCCATGAAATACCATTAATTGCAGAATATCCGTTGTAACATTTGTGTAACAAGACTCTCTCTCCCTCAAGTGTTGATCTTATCGCATCACATTTTCTAATTGAACGACAGAAATACTAAATATTTTGGTCCCATGATGTGACAAATTCAACCTCACGCTGGCTAGATCCCAATTCAGAACATATGGTATTATGGTATGTAACATGTCCATTGTTCTGTTTAAAATGCAATCGCAACTGGCTTCGCTACTAGTTTGTCGAGAATGTTCCACCTATGTTCCTTCCGCCTCCTATCTATGTAACATGCATCCTATCAAAGCAAATTGGCGTATGATTAAGGGAAGGAACGCAGATTTAAAAGTATGCTTGGTTATTTATTTAAGGTATGCATGGTTATTTATAAATTCCCATTTTATCAACACATATTTCTTCATTTTAACGAGTGGCGGGGTCCGGATATATCGAAGGTGGTAACAGCTCTAGGACTCGATTTTGCAACCGTTTTCTAAATTAAACGTGCATTTAAAAAGTATCGTTTTACATTGTAAATTATAACAACTTAACAAACGATTATGATATCTGAGCCCTAAGTCCATTCTAGAGTTCTAGTGAGGGTGTGGAACAATCATCTTCAGGAATTCATAAACAAACGCCTTTTAAGATTTGTGCCAACTTTATCCGCTGAGAATAAGTATATTCACATGTCGTTTTGGAATAGGAACGAACATTACCACTCATTAGTCGTGTTTTTGATAATAACTTTTGCTATCACGTTTATGTAACAAGTTAATCAAACTCTTCTTAGGATTAGGAAATATCAATGCTACAATATTTCAATATGTTACAACTTGTTATGCAGTAATGTTGAAAGAATTATGTTTTAAAATTTTCAAACAATTTGGGCACCGAGTAAACTGTCGTAATATAACGAAACATTTACAGTTTAAACGTTTATTTCCTTACCTCTTTCATACACACGTGATACTCAGAAATTGTGAACAGTAATCAGTTATTCAAAGTCTGGTTTAACTAAAGCTTAAACTCAGATGAACTGTTTTCAGGAAGCTACTGTTACATCGGTCCCCAAGGAATAGTCCACGGCACGACCATCACAGTGATGAACGCTGGTCGGAAGTACCTAGGCCCCAACAACACGGCCGGTAAAGTATACGTAACATCTGGTCTGGGTGGGATGAGTGGAGCTCAGGGTAAAGCTATAGTTATTGCAGGCTATGTTGGAGTTGTGGCTGAGGTTAGTGGTTGTAATATTAATATGTTATGTTGTTACAAACACTGCTGGGTTACAAATAGCGGAGGTATTAAATAAGGGGGGTCTTACGGGCTCCTTAGTCCCCCCTAACTTAGTATGTGTTTTTTACACTGACTTTCAGTTTAAAGAACTGAATACGCGTACGCCCCCCGTACGCATAATGCTATTAGGATTTTACTGAGGAGTCATGGTACAGATCTCATGTTACAAGCCTTAATTCATATAATATGTTGATTAAATACCTCAATTTTGTAATATAAAATTGTCCTTAACCTAAACGCGAAATTGTAATATAAAGATAATTTACGGAGCAACACCGAAGGTTTCCCGAGAAGCTCTGGATAAAAGACACGCTCAGGGTTGGATCCAAGAGGTGGCTGACTCTGTTGATCAGTGTATAGAGCTTGTCAGAGAAGCAAGGAAGGCCACGAGAGTTCTCAGTATTGGGTAAATTTAAGCTCTAGTTTTTGCCCATTACTAGATACTAATTGGACTGCAGCTGAGCTGCGACATTAACATTGGGGTGGCAGTCTGCAGCAGGTGTCTGCAGTTTAGCCTGTCAATGAATTAACATGACCATTTTGTCTCGACTTGTAATACACATGTTAAATAGTGGACCAAGTTAACTGTTAATAAGACTTCTCCCGCCCAGATTTCATGGAAATGTGGTGACCTTATGGGAGGGATTTGCAGCGTACACAGAGCGCACTGAAGAGAACCTGGTCGAACTTGCCAGTGATCAAACCTCCCTCCACAACCCCTTTAACGGCGGGTACTACCCCGTACAGTTGTCTTACGAGGAGAGCAATGTGATGATGAACTCTGATCCGGCTCAGTTTAAATCTTTAGTTGAGGAGTCGTTAAGGAGACAAGTCAAAGCTGTTAATTACCTTTGTGGTAAGGGGATGCATTTCTGGGACTATGGAAACGCTTTCCTTCTTGAGGTTGGTACAATTTGATTTCGGTTCGAGCTTGTCAGATACGGATTATTCTAGTGTGCATTTACTGCATCTGGCTAGTTTGTGTGCAAGTTTTTGCGTAATTACTAATGTTCTGTTTTGGAGTTTGCAATAAAATTCGATTATAAGAATTTGGAAAAACAATAATTAAATAACAAAACACAACAATGTTACAAAGTCACACATCAAATATAAAAAACGGAAGGCTTTATAAAATGAGGATGTTTAATATATAAAATTCTATTTTTCAGTATTTACGTTATAACGATATTTTCAAATAACATATTGCGGTAAAAAGTGTATAAAATAAACTGTTTTTTATAAAGTATTTCATAAAGCATTTCATAAATTTGCATTCTTCAATCCTGTGCAATAAACAGAAATGAACCTATTATATTGCAGGTCATCAATATTTTTCATTAAAAATCCCCTATCATCCTGCGCAGAAATGAAAAATTCTTGCAGGTCATCATTATATAGTCTTTATCAAAAATTTCCTAAATAAAGGATGAAAATCATCGCTCTGAGAAACTTTGTGTTCGCAAAGTCACCGCTCATCTTGACAGTTCGGTGGATGGCTAATTCAGTCTGTTAGCCGGAACTTAGGTGCCTAAACTCACAGGGTCAGCGTCTAAGAATTGGAATAGTCTATTAGGCATCAAGGTAAGGAGGATCACCCTGGAGTGGACATCCTGAATTATAGACAGCTGCCTGGAACTCTCGTTTAGTTCCACAACCAATCTGCTGGAGGAAGTTCCTCGGGACTTTGTATCCAGCAATCTGACAGTGTTGAGCTATTGAGTTTGCGAAAGCACAAGTAGAACGTCCCTCGTATCGTGCCACCTTGGCAGCACATCCGTCCACGATGCACGAGTCTCTGTAGAATTTGGTGCCGATAACAGAAGCACATTCCGAGAAAGCGTCCGACTCCAGCATATTATCGCACTCCTCCTCTACCTCTGCTTGGTTATCGCATGTCACCTGTCCAACAGGTTCCTCAATTCCACACCAGTCGTATCTGTAGCCCCAGCTTGTTCCAAACTTGTTGCTATCATCTCCGGTCATTCCGAACCTGCCTCTGTACAGGTCATCTCCAGGCTCTCCGTTGTTGTTACCACAAATTCCCATAGTGTTCACTCCAGGACTGGTAATGATTTGAACTCCCCAAAATCCGTCAAACTGGACTTTTACTCCGTTCAGCATACTCAGCTCTATCGTTAGTCCGGTGTAGGTTACAATCATGTCGTCTATTTCCGCTGGCGTGTTCTTCTTGAGACGGAACTTCTCTCCGTTCTGTGCGACTATCCAACCTCTGGTAATAATCAGGGGTGCCTTGCTCCTGTCGTGGTGAATTACAACCTGCTCCAGACATGTTACTCCGTTTCCGCATGGCATGAATCGACCTGAAATAAGTTGCGTTCAATAAATTTGTAGGGCTACAAATACAATGTATATAAATTCCCAGACTTGACATTGTTAAAATTTTGGTATGTTTAGTAAATATAGTATTTAGAATCAACATTGTAGGAGTTCTCAGAGTTTATAGCTTTTAATGTTATAAATGTGAAATGTGGAATTTGTAGAAAATGAGGTACTTAGTCTTTTGAACTTACCAACAATCATCCACTCGTATCGATTGGCGTCCATCGCTAAGACGTAGTCGCAAACTCCCATGAAATCATATACCTTTCCATCAAAAGTTTGAACGTGGGGATCTCCGAAAACTTTGCAGACCTTTGCTTTGGGGTTATCAACGAAGTTGTTGATTTCTTTGGGAATAACAACAACTTCGACATCTTTGGAGACAACCTTCTTGCTACACTGCATGGCAATAGCTTTGTAGACTCCACCATCTCTCTCAGTGACACTTTGTACGAAGTGTTCGCTGTCTTCACTGGCCATCTTTTGCTTGTTATTCTTCCTCATCTTCACCCATTTAAGAGAAGTAGGCATGGGGCTACCAGCGTAGGAGACAGTCAGAGACAGGCTTTCTCCTTCGTTGAGCTCAATCTTGGTAGCAGGCACAACCAGTTCGAGGGGATCGACCTTGCACTCTCCTTCGTTAACAAATATGAGGGGAATGTTATTCTCGCAACTGTGGGTCCTCATGTGGCAGCCGTTGTAGTAAGTCTGACAATCTGTGGCGCAGATAGGTTTGTAAGTTGGGTCCACACAAGGTTTACACTGGCACTCCGTGGTGAGAGTCTGGTAGTTGGGAGAACAGAACTTCCTTTTAGGGCACCTCACTCCTCTGCACAGATCTTCCTTCACTTCCATGTAGGCTCTGCTGAATGCTACTCCGTGTTTATTGGATACGATGCAGACGTACCATCCTTGATCAGTATGAGCCAAATTCTTGATAGTCCTCTCGACGCTCACCTTGCTATCCAAAGACCTTCGACGATTTCCTCCAGCGTTGAACATATTGAAGTCAGTTATGGTGTCCTCTTTGACAATCATAACATTGGGAGTGGGGCTGCCTTCACCCTTGCAGACAAAATTAGCAGTTTCTCCGACTCCGTTGGTAAAATTGGCTGGTCCTTGGATTATGACAGGCATGAGGTCTTCGAGAGCAGTTGCCGCAACAAATAGGGCGGCGAAAACAAACAGCATGTTAAAAAGCACGGCCAACACGTATCAGTTGTATTGAATACTATTGAGAAAAGTGAACTATGGGATATCTGTGTTCTAATGAGTGCAGCTCCTGCTATATACTAGTTACAAAGTATCCCGCCCAGAGAGAGCGTGATATGATGACGTCACACGCGCTCGCTTCCCATTGGTTGAGCGGAGTGGGCTGGTAGCGCGCCGTCAGCATCCCTCCACACCTAGGCTTTAACATGTCCCTCATTTGTGACATGCTGGAACGCAAGTCAGCCCAAATAAGTACACGCTACACATTATCTCAAATAAATCATAACATCATCTTTGAATTGTGATTAGAGAATGTGAGAATATTTGTTGCAGATTGTCTGTATGCACATATTATATATGCTAGTTCTAGTATAAAATTACAATGTGACATCGGAATTCAATTTTCACAAGAGATTGTTCGCTGACGCAATTTTTACGCTCAGTTCCGAATCCATGACCGTCTTATCTAAGATTTACTCCTGATTTCCTCACATTTGACGATAATTGCCGATCATCTCCTCGTTAATATAGTGAAGTAAAAATAGTCCGGAAACAGGACAAGACAGGTCTAATTTTTGGCAGCAATTTTCGGCATTTGCTATGAAGTACCGGTAGTGATGATATCTTCCAGCGGCTTTCTTTTTGAACGACTACTCAGTACCACGTGCCTGTACGCCCTGCTGGCAAAATTGGAAAAATTGTATTTCACATGTCACCGTTAATATACTGGTCTGCGTATATTGCAGGGGATCATCACTCCGTAGTTTGATATAAGCACCGGGCGTTGATTTATTGACCCAGATGTTGACACTGATGCTTAAATTGGATTTTGAGGGCAGTACTGAGTACATAACAGTCATGAATTAAAGCTTTTAAAGGAGACATTTGGCAAGTGATCATATCTGCGATGACGGGTATTGGCAGAAAACCCACAACTATTACTTTTGAATTATAATAAGGACAGTGCAACTTCCTTGATTTGAAGTTTGTGAAGAGGTGAGCAGACGAGTGATCAAACGTTCGCTGACGAGTTAGAAAGTTAAACTGCTAACTCAGATGGATTCTCAATTATCATTCCTTCTTATTCTTGTGAATATAGAGGTTGTACTTACATTTTCTAAAGTGGTGGCTGCCTGACATGATGGCTGCATCCCATTCTAAAATAGATATAGTTGCTGTGCCCCACCCGGCCAAGGAACTAAAAAGGGTGACCGTTTAACCGCAATATTTAGATTTTAGAGTGCATCATACTCGCTTCAACGGTTGACACATTCCAACTGAATGGCACTTTTGTTTACTCTCTACTCTCCTCTCGATGTAATGCACACCTGACACCAAAGTGTCACTTGTCACGTCTGGAATATTGTATTGATGACGGCACAATGATTTGAACTTCAAAATTACGCACGAGTCACTCTTAGGGCAGATTGGGGCGAATCCACATGTCCTGAGTCCTGATTAAATTCCATCTCTATTTATCTTCCGCTGTGGTACTTTGGGATGGAGATGTTGCGTTTTGGAGCTAAACATACGATTGTTTAATGTTTAATATGGCCACATTGAAACCTTTAGAAATGAATCTAGAAGTCAGTGTGCTTGCTCCAGGTGCCCACTGCGATTCTTCAAATGCCGTATTAATTCCAACTATAAGTATATTACCCTGCATTTCTCTCTTCCGCTTACATTCCTCTACATTTTTAACTTCCTTCTCTGTACCAACACGAACATGTTACTTATCCGTCAATTCAGGCAAACGGCTGCAGGATATGAGGAATATTTCAAATATTCAGCAACAATTCTGACTGTACCATAGTAAAACAAGTTCAATCAAGTTCTGTAGAAAAATAAATGGCGGTGTCGACCTTGCCAGATGAAAATACCTTTATCATATTCATATCCCTAAACCTAAGCATATCATTGTTTTGCTGGCATGCTGAAGCCACTGAAACATGTTTTAACAACCTGTTAAACGCAGCACACAGCAGGTAGACGGCCAGTTGTTTCCTGGCCTGGTTTAACTTTGTTGTTATTAAAACTATCACGGTAAACTATTTACAGTGAAACATTAAGCTCCGGAAAGCAAACCACGTACAATTATAATATCGGTCCAACCAAGCTAATTATTTTTTACTCTTTTCGACACCTAAAGAGATCAATGAACCTCTTCGAATATTTTCATATTTTTTTCAAAAATAATCTGTCACTCCCATCACTGTAAATGTGCAGTAACAATGAAATATTTAGCTGTCTCTAGGTTTTTTCTTGCAGTAAATTCATATTTCTGCAAGCTTTTCACTTCTAGTTCTTTGGCGCCGCCACTACTACAATAAAGAGATTATAATAAAGTTGTTGACTGCTCTTTTGAAACGTACATGTATAACGTATGGATGTGTTTGAGTATTTGAAGAATCGGAAAGTTAGTGACAGGTATGTTTTGGAAAACGCCTTCTCGTTTGGTGACTTGACTTCCTTACAAGTTGCTATGCCGATTTGCTAAATTAAGCGTGAATTTCAATTTTAACCCGTAAATTTTGATCTTTTAATCATGTGACGAGCTAATTTCAAGATTGTTCGTGTCAAATTTACACCAAATTTGTCACGGCACAAGAAGATAATATTTAATTATTTTACCGGAAATTTTGTCAGTTGAAAGATAATGAACAGTATCGCCTCAAGGCTCAAAATGCTCGTTAGCACCGAATTAAAGTATCTTATCATATTAAGATTTCTTGTTATAACAGTCGGTGAAACTTGTAGGTTATCAATTGTAGTACGGTTTCCAGCGCTGAAATAACTTTTCAAAAATTCCCAAGAATTTCCATTAGATCATGCATTGTTGAGTATTGGCCATCGAGTCACCCCGAAGCTGGGACTATGGTTTAATGGTTAATGGTCGTTGTGCTGGGTTATGCCGAACTTATTGGAGGATTTCAGTCGCTACAAACTATTTTTCTAAGAAACCGGAGCTTCAAACATTTACCTAGGTATAATTGGTAATAGCAGATTTATCAAGGTCGGGTGGCATTATGTTGCAGGATAATGATCTAAGTTTTACCCCGAGTAGGGCTTGTAACACTAGTTATCAATCTAAAACACCTTACCCGGACCTGAACCATCACTAACGATACACTAGAACAAGCCTGAAGCCACTTAACGAGTTATCCAAGAGCCTGTTTCTTAATTTATCTCAATTATATGTACTATGTTGATTGTTGAAACCCGAACAATAGGGTTTAATTAGGCTGACCGTAAACCGAGACCCGGTAATATTTGTGAGCTTTAACATTTCATGCCAATTATATGCCTGTGAAGCTGTTTAAAATAATAAATTAGACTACGAGCTTTATTTTAAAATCCTATTTTTATTTCCGGTTTTTACTAGTCTTCCGCAATAACTGTAAAAATTAAAGTTAAAAATGTTGCATGGAATAAATGCGGGTTTGAAAAAGCTAAAATTTACTGTGTCGGGTTGACAGAGGGTGTGCCAATTTTATTTTCATGGAGCTGGCGCCAGACTGATAGTATTAGTTCATTTATCATTCAGTTCGGAGCAACATGAGTTAAGTTTAGGGGACCTTAAAACATCATCGATACTTAAACAAGTGAAACATTAGGTTTTTATGCTGGAGATATAAGTTAAACTAATATTTAGTGGCAAAAAAAACTTACGTTTCGCTTGTACAACTATCATCATGTTAATATCTGGGCCAATATCATAATTCACAGAAAGTTGATATTATCAGGACAATAAACTCGTTCTCATGCTGCATGACAGTTAAACTAAACGAAGCCTGTCAAACCCCTTCCATAATCCTGGCTCTCAGCTTCTTAAACATGACTTTAATTCCCGTGTGAAAGTAATTAATGCATCTTGACATATGTAACTATTGGCAGGCTAGTAGAGCCGTGGCAGGCTAGTAGAGCCGTGGCAGGCTAGTAGAGCCGTGGCAGGCTAGTAGAGCCGTGGCAGGCTAGTAGAGCCGTGGCAGGCTAGTAGAGCCGTGGCAGGCTAGTAGAGCCGTGGCAGGCTAGTAGAGCCGTGGCAGGCTAGTAGAGCCGTGGCAGGCTAGTAGAGCCGTGGCAGGCTAGTAGAGCCGTGGCAGGCTAGTAGAGCCGTGGCAGGCTAGTAGAGCCGTGGCAGGCTAGTAGAGCCGTGGCAGGCTAGTAGAGCCGTGGCAGGCTAGTAGAGCCGTGGCAGGCTAGTAGAGCCGTGGCAGGCTAGTAGAGCCGTGGCAGGCTAGTAGAGCCGTGGCAGGCTAGTAGAGCCGTGGCAGGCTAGTAGAGCCGTGGCAGGCTAGTAGAGCCGTGGCAGGCTAGTAGAGCCGTGGCAGGCTAGTAGAGCAGATGTCACCAAACCGGATGATTTGGGTTTAGAGACCCGTTAAACATGATCGATACTTAAACAAGTGAAACATTATCTTTTTGTCCGCTAGATATAACCTAAACTAATATTTAGAGGCGAAAACAATCACGTTGAGCTTGCTAAAGTTAAACTATCGCCATGTTTATTATTATATCTGGAAGGTCAAAATCATGATTCGCTCACCCCTTCCATAATCCTGGCGCTCAGCTTCTTAAACATGACTTTAATTCCCGTGTGATAACAATTAATGCATCTTGACATTTGTAATTATTGGCAGGCCAGTAGAGCCGGAGCAGATGTCACTAAGCCGGATGGTAGCTTTATTTACCCGACCTACGTACAGCTGACTATCGGCAATGTGTTTTCGCTCGGGTTCGGACCCTTCAGGTGGGTTTGTGCCAGTGGCAGGGAGGAGGATCTCCAGAAATCAGATGAGATAGCTGCTGGGGTTATCAGAGAGCAACTTACTGAGAGCCCTAGTCCGGAGGTGGAGGGTAACCTTCGAGATAACCTCACTTGGGTCAGTTTATTTTATATTTATTCTTATATTTATTTCTAGATATTAGCTCTATATTAGCTCTATGACAAAGGCGTTGTTTGTAAGGAATTGGAACAATATACTGCACTGTATCGTCACATTGTTGATTGTAATTCACTCTTGAAATACAAATAATTTGTGATTTTATAGTGTTGAAATAGCTACAAAATAAGCTTTTAAGTGTTTCAAGTTAAGATTCCCAATTCTGACAATTTTTTAAATAGTTTGTTTAAGTCTAAAAGACATAGATGTAGATTCCTAAAACTCAAATGATGGGTATTCTGCTTAACTTGATTTATTTACGTCCATTTTCTTGGTTGTGAGACTTGAATGTAAAATGACTTTGAAGTATTGTTTTTAAAATGCCCATTTTGACGATAGTTATGAGTAGAGGCATAATAATGGGCTATTTTCAAATATAAGACCTGGAGTCAGAAATATTCGTATCATTTAACAGATATCAGCCCATTGCCAAAATCGTTTAAAAAATGTTGCGTCATATTGCCGCTATAATGGTACGGTACGTGTTATTTTCACAATACTCGTGACATGATTTTTATATTTACGTGCTTGGGCGGTACGAGTCACAAGAATTTTGAGTCTTTCCTCAACCTTTTTAACTATAGAAATGTTCGCGCTAGTTGTCCAGTTTAGGCTAATTATTTTCCTTGTATGGCTTAAAAGCTACCTAAAAGATAACTCTGAACTATTTTGAACGCATCGAGAATTAACCTTTTTGGCATCTTCTAAGACAGTCTCTGAATTTGTGCAACGCCAATGGTCTTTCGCCTTTGCTGCACTTGTAAGTAATTAACCGCTACATGAGGCTTCTCCCGAGTTACTAACACTCACCAGCAGGTTTATAGATGGGAACACTCCGTACAGGTTCTTGGCAGCAGCAGACATGACCACCACAAGATGTTAGAAAGAGACAAAACAGTCACTCTTCAGATACCCAGCATCCACTAACTAGCTGAGCAATTAGCAGAGTAATTAGCAATTAGCTCAGCAAGTTCTCACTCTGAGCAAGTTCTCACTCTGTTTACCGTTCAATATTACTCAGGTGGAGAAAGCAATGGACAACAAGCTGGTTGTGGGGTCCCAAGCTCGTATCCTGTACTGCAACCAGGCGGGCAGATCTAGGATAGCAGCTGCTTTCAACAGAGCTGTCGCTTCCGGGGATATATCTGCCCCTGTTGTAAGTTAAGTTGTGCCGTTAGTGTTAGTGTAGTAGTACGGTAAGGATTCATAGTTACAATAGACCGAACATGTTCTAGTGTGTAGTGTAACCTGATTAGCAAGTCGTGAAATTCGGACACTTTCCATTACCCAACACACATTGTCATGGCTTTAAACACTGATTTAATACCTATGATATTACTGGGTTTATGCCTTTTATTTTTTATTAGATTATTCGATTATTTAAATATTTACAAAACTGATAACAACAACATAAAAACCTCATGATAATAAATGAACCCAAAATTCCGAAACCCATATGTAATTCGTTGCCTAAAACTCGGTATTTTATAATTATCATGAGTTCTTTACGTACATCATAACTATTGATATTGTGAGTTCTTCACTTGAACTGTTTACATTTGGTTTCATTATCAACTTTACAAGTGGGTCACAAGTTTATCCATATCTGTAATAATTTCCCATAGAAACAAACCCTTCTCTCGACAGGTGCTATCACGTGATCACCACGACGTGAGTGGAACGGACTCTCCCTACAGAGAGACATCCAACATTACTGACGGCTCTATGTGGTGCGCTGACATGTCCATTCAGAATGTGATCGGAGACGCGCTGCGCGGCGCTACTTACGTCAGCATCCACAACGGTGGTGGAGTTGGCTGGGGCGAGGTGAGGAGATATACCAGCCATGCTGATAAGTTTTGTAGAAGATAGTTTAGTTGTTGACATGTTGGAGTTGTCAGTCGTCGGCGTATTCCCATGGGAAGAGTAAATTAAGTTGCTAATGGGTTTTGATATGTTGAACTTGATAAACGTTGCATGGGTGCCATTACTTGTGGTGACATCAAGATTAAATTTGTGATCCAAAACTTAAGAAATGCCTTTTTGTCTGACAAGTTGAGAGGAGGTTTTAACTTTTCACGTTACGCTACTTATGTTTTATGTATACTGACAGTGAGTTAAGAAAGCCGAAATATCACTCCATGTTGAATCATGGTCATGGTGTCTCCAAAAAGGTTACATCGACTACCTTGGGCATATGGGTATAAATAGCATCATTAGGTTTTTGTAGTCTGCATCGAAAGTTTTATAGTAAGTTTTGAAATATCCAGGAATAACACAATCACAACAGCTCGTACAGCCTAAATTATCATTTGACGTAGACATTATTCTAGTATCATGAGCACTTGCGGATATTTTGGAAGAGTAGCACAAGCCGCTGCAGCTACCACATTTTATATTGATTCTATGATCAGCAGTAACACTGAAATTTTCAGGAAATGTCATCTTCAATTAATTTTTACGTTTGTGGAAGTACGGGTATCGGCCTTACAAAATGACAGGCCTCACAAAATGACAGCCCACATAGACCATGCTGTAGCTTAGGTTCCCTATACATTGAACCCTATTCCTTTTACTGTATGAAAGAAAAAGCATTAATTAACACTTCCCAAGGAATGATAATGACATAGAATCTATATTTCTTACATAAATATGGACGTTTTTGCTGTTCAGTCATTGCCCCGCCTAACTGTTACCCAGAATGGAGACCAAAGTTTTGAATTTAACCCCAGAAAACCAGGTACTACCATGACTTATGTCAATCAAAGACTACTCTGGTCAAATAAAAAAACTGATGTAGTGACTTTGGTAGAAGAAATGACAAAAAAATGACCTAGCCTCACAAAATGACAGTGTTATGCCTCACAAAATGACAGTTTTATTTTATGATACAAAGATGGCATATTTATATTGGATGCCCCTTGCCTAATTATTGGTATTCTTAAACCGAGTAAGCTCATGATGAGCCTAAATGTGTTTGTTTGATCATCAATTTTGATCAAAATGCCTCACAAAATGACACCGAAAAGCCTTACAAAATGACAATGTTTCAGATTGAATTATTTTCATCATCTAAAATGGATCAGAGACAGTCAATACAAGAAGGAGTTAAAAATAATCATAATCTGACAGTTAACAATCAAGTAGCATTAAAAAAGTGCAGTTCTGATATCAAAACTTTGATTTCAAACTCTTTGATTTCAAACTCTGATTTCAAAACTCAACGAAATAAAGCTTCTATTTTATGAAAGCAGAGAGTAATAACAACTCCTAAAACATGTCAAACGTTAACTAAACACTGAAAAGTGATCTATCCAGTCATAGAAAATATCAAATATAACCAAATACTGTGTTCAAGTATGAAAACAAAAAATGATTTTTACGCCTCACAAAATGACATTTTTTAAATTTTTTCAAAGTATAAAAAATGTTCCTTTTTAAATATATTTTGGTAAAAACAGAACTGGTATAATATAAACAACATATATATCTAACAGTAAGACACGTGAAAGAATAATGAAACTTTTTCCCAAATCGGATTTGAAGTGATGCCGTTTTGGGTTGTCATTTTGTAAGGCACTATCTCACGCGAAATTGCCCAACTTTTTTTAATCATCCTTTTTCCTGTAAAAGCTATTCTAATCTTCAATCTATCATATTTATCTAACTGTCCTAGGTGAAATCAAATTTCTATAGGCTGCTGTTAAAAAATGACAGCCGTGACGAAATTGTCATTTTGTAAGGCATGTTTTTTTGGAAGATTTCAAAGATGACAATTTTTATCGCAAAATTTACGGTTTTTCAATCAAATCAACCCCCGGGAAGAAAAATATACCTGTTGAACTACCTATCTGGATAATAAAACATGAACAAAACTCATTTTTGTGCATTTCAGAGCCATCTCCTTTTTCGTGTCATTTTGTAAGGCCGATACCCGTATAAGCAATAATAAAAAGTTATAATCTGACTATAGTTCAGATCAGAGTCTTTTACAAGAACCAAAGGTCTTTTATCTTTTTATGCTACAAAATTGCGATCCCTGTCTTATCTATGAGATCTAAATTAAAAACTGAAATCTCTTATTTGTTAAAGGGTTGTTAAAATATACGCTAATTCAGACGTTACAGTGATACCAAATGATATAATATTTAATGTTACAATACAAGGATCAATAAAAAATAGAGAATTTAAGTTTCAAAATTAATACTGTCGAGTCCTGTTATGTTTTACTTTATAAAACACAATTTCTAATTTTTTCTCCCGTTTCTCCTTTCTTCAACGTCTTGTCCAGTGACCGGTATCGGTTTGTTTCTAGTCTCGACCAGTAGAAATGATCCCATCATACAAAAGACCGATATGAAAGCTAGGCTCCCAAGAACCACCGCTTTGGAAGTGATGAGTGCCAAATTGTTGAATAAGAACGGACCTGTGAAGGAGCCAACTCTAGAAATACCAGAACAAAAGCTGAACACGATACCCCTATGTGTTGTTGGTGCTAATTCTCCAGTCCAAAGCAAAATTCCTGAGTAGAGTCCGTTCACAAATATGGCTCCGATCAAACAGCTGACGCTTTCCAGTGTCCAGCCACTTCCAAATTCCACGTTTGGTATCGCTGTAAGGTAGGTCAGAGCGGCCCCTAGAAACATAAATATCATGGCATGTCTTCTTCCCTGCCAGTCTATTAAAGAAACAGACATAAAATAAGAAATTATTTCTCCCACACCAGCCATAATGTACCCTAAGTACCTATCTGGAAGGATATCTCCCCAACCGAAGCCAAAGCCATAAGAAAACATCGCAATGGACGGCCAAATGACCATAAGGATTGAAGTTTCAAGCAGAAGACTTGGGTACCGGATAAATTCGGTCAGTTGCTGCCTGACATTATGGTTTCTATCTTTAGCTTTTCCGGCGTCTATTATTTGGATGTTTTCTAGATCCAGGTCCATATTGTTCAATTTCGCCAAGGCTTTGAAGGATTTCTTGGCTGCCTCCACATCATTTTTTATCAAATAGTATCTGGGTGATTCTGGACAGATAAAAATTTGTAATGATGTGAGCACCATGACTATGGACGCTGCTAAAAACATGTTGTTCCAGCTTATTACGAAGTAGCCAATTCCTACTAAAGGTACGTAACCAAATGAACCCAAACACCCTGCCCAACCGTTTATGATGTGTCTGTGTTTTGATGGAACAAGCTCCGCTGTTAGAAGGTACATTCCATCGGACTGTAAGATATTACCAACGCCCACGAAGAACCTAACTGCTAAAAGTGAGGCGTAGTTATGACAAAATGTTCCCATTAAAAGCGAGAAAGTCACGATGAACATACCAATTATTGCTGTATTCTTTCTCCCAATTCTATCAAACAAGTAACCACCTAGAATAAATCCTGACAATCCTCCAGCAAATAAAATTGACATTAACAAGGTTTTTCGTGCCTTCCGGAATCCGACATCGCAGTACAAATCAAACTCCGCAGAAAATGAGGAATGTTCAAGACTCCATTCTATGTCAGAAGATCCAAGGATAAGTTCTTTTTTACCATCCACTTCGTTGGTAATTTCGCAAGGAAATTTGTGTAGTAATGATGGATTGGCTCTTGTCAAATTAAAGCACTTTATGGATTTGCATTTCCAAGTGTCGTCGGGGGTTGGATCAATACCTGAAACAAAATTTACAAATTAATAATTTGCTAAAATAAACATAGATCCTCTTCATTGAATGAATATATCAATAATCAAAAGTAATGCATACATAAATATTGAACACGCTTTTAACTTTTTCCTGATTATGTACTTTTCGGCCTATATCATACGTCATAATAATCCGTAATTAGGCTTGTAAGTTATTTAACCCACACCAATCACCTGCGAATTCAGTTATAAAAACATTCGAAGTCCCTCCCAACCATACCAACATCAGTGACATTAGCAGAGCTGTGTACTTCCAACTCCGGTTCCGGGCTAACTCCTCTAGCAGATCATCACAACTGACCAGTTTTCTGTCAGTATCTTCTACCGGTAGGGTGGATCCGTAAGTTGGGTGAGCCTTGATCTCGTCTATCATCTTCACAACTTCTTCAAACTTTTGGGATATTCTTCGGTTTATAACTTAACTTCGATGGCGTGGGGTATCCAATAATGAAAAAATGGTGAAAAAATGGTGAAAAATTGTGTATTCCCGGCGAAAATGGTCAAATTCTCAATTAGGAAGGAAGGAAACATGATACTACAGAAACTGAGAAACATGTGATGTACGTGTACAATGTACATGTACAAAGGCCTCATGGATCTATGTCTGTAACTCTGTAAAGTTGGGGTTATTATATTCTGACGAAGTATTCTGCAGGAGAGTGTAGGAGTGTGGTGTGGTCTGCAGGAGAAGCTGAATGCGGGATACTGGATAGACCCCAAGAGGATAGCATGAAGACCTACCTCTGGGATGACTGGGGTGTCCTAAGCAGGGTTGTGAAATTCAAATACGTGTTTTACGTTTTTTTGAATCGGAGCGTTTTTACGTTTTTTAACAGGTTTTTGCGTATTTATTTTAAAAACGTTGTGATTTATACGGAAATTTACAATGTTTTGACGGTCACCGACTACCAGTAAACGAACCAGCGAAGTACGAACACTGAGGCCTGGGCCACAATCACATAAGCAGATTGCAGTCTGCAGTTACACTGTACACTTACATTCCTATTAAAACTGCAAAGTATCGAAACGATCCATCACATATCCTCATTACTCACTTTATTATTGTAGTTAAGCGAACATTCCAGACTCTGCTATATTATATGAAACTGCAGCTGATTCCCACCCCTCTTAGTTATTCGTGTTACATGTACAGCAACTTAGAAAGCAAGAGTTTCAACAGCCAACACAACTGGCAAGTTTGATTGGTCATACCGCTACATTTTGAATTTCCACGTGAGTCGGCTTGATTAGATTATGCGAACGTTTTTTCTCGTTTTTGAACGTTTTTTGAAAAGGATAGAAAAAAGCACGTTTTTAACGTTTTTTGAGTTTACCATTTACGTTTTTCACAACCCTGGTCCTAAGGAGATGATACCGCGGAAATCTATGAGAAAATGAGGGGGTCGAGTGGCAGGTCGAGTGAGGAGGAATAAGTAATATTATAACATGACGTATATTGTACATGAGCACACCTCATCATACAGCGCTGAATAAGAGCTGCATGCTGGTCACAAGACATGGTCACAAGGCATGGTCGCAACATGTCACCTTAAGGGAGCTGGATAGACGTTACACAAATGCGAAACAACGGTCGAAAACAAACGGTTATTTCACTCTGTTTATATGGATATGATATGATTTGATGAAATATGATAGTAACATCATCAAGTTCGGTGAAATATGATACCATAATCAGGTGACAGAGATTAAGAAGCACAAACCAGTTGACAACGGTCGGAAAGTGATCACGTGATGTTTAAAAGCTTTTAAACACAATCCTTATCTTAATGATCTATCTCATATTTCTAGAACCCCCCTGCAAAACACTGATTAACCTACACAGGTCACAGGTATGAGAGCTACCTCAAAATAATGGGCTGTTCAAATCAAGCTTTATTGATGAAGACCTTTTTACACTCGATTATAATGAGATACGGAAACATAAAACATGTACCTCATCGTGATTTGATCGGGTTGTACTTCCTAGATACATTCTTTAGGTTCAAACGTGAATACATAGGGTGAAAGCCAAAGCTCAATGCACATGTATGTCCTTATTAGACTGCAAATAGAGACTGCAATTAGACTGCAATTAGACTGCAACAACACAAAACCTAAGTTTACGACCTAATCAAAGAACTTTACATAAACTGTTCGAGAGAACAACAAGCAACAAACAGGGTACATTGGAGAGGCCTAATACATCGGAGAATGGAGTTACTATGTGGTGCAGGCCACTCCAATGACTAGGAGGAGACCTTTTTAAGTACAAGTAGTAAGATTGTCTGTTTATGTAGTTATGTGTCAACTGTTACCCTCCATTGTTGCACTGTTGCTTTGACTAATGAGATGTAATAGGAAAGTCCTACATCAGATTAATGTATCTAACTCATAAATACATGTCCTATATTTCTTGAGAGATATTGAGGAAATTATTAAACTGAGAGATTTTGCCAAGAAACTGAAAGGAACTAGAGGCGAACATTTGCTAAATCGTATGTGACTTTTGTGTTTAACATGCGGTTATTGCGGGCTCTATTTTAATTATATCATGCTTCTTTAATGTTCCAACAAATTAAGTTTATAACAATTTGAATAATTAACATTTCCCTCTCCAGGTGATGAACGGAGGGTTCGGGATGGTGCTGGACGGTAGTGAGGAGGCAGGTGAAAAAGCAGTTTCCATGTTACACTGGGACGTAAGTAACGGGGTCTGTAGGCGAGCCTGGGCCGGCCACCCTCTAGCTCAACAGGCTATGTCCAACACTCAGGACACTGTGCCTGGGTATCATGTCACCATGTGTAACAATGCTGATGAGGATTTGATCCGGAGCCTTTAGAGAGTGAACGTTTCAACCATGATTAACTGAACACTGGATTTAGGATTATCAGAATACTTTACATTGCTTTTTAATTCACTGTGACGGCGTGACCCGTATCTGTATTTTTATTCGTTGCTAATGTTTAGATATTCGTTTTATGGGAGTTTTTATAATACCAGATTGTTAGCATTTTAACCCGAGCGTTGGAATATTTCATTTATTGTCGAAAATTTCTGTTATTTACCGATATTGAGGATGTATTTTAAGAGAGTATTTAATTTTTGTCATTTTTAGTGACCCCCGCACAAACTTTATTTTGACTGGTATATTTTGTATGTGTAGACTGAGCTGTATTGTACGTATAGCATGAGAATTGTGCTTTTTCAACTTTTAGAGTTTCACTATTACTCAGGCTTTTTAGAGTATCACAGAGTTGTTCGCTTGACTCTTTCAGACTGTCACTCGAAGCCATAAACATCAAAAATTTGACAAACCTTAACACTTAAAGTGGCCGGGGGTACCAATATTGAGAATCGTGGAAATAGATTTTATGATGTTTACTGAAAGAGGAGAGTGAGATCTTCCAGATGGTTTTTACTCCATAAAAAATATTAATTCTATTACGGACGCGATTTTACCATTTTAACTGTGACAGAAAGTCAGACAAAGTTGTCGGTATTTTCGGAATTACACACACGCGCCGACCTTTAATAGTTTAATGACCCATAACTTTTACCAGAATCCACATTTTTTTGATGTAATAAAAAGCATCTAGTAGATCTCACTCTCCTATTTTAGAAAAAATCATACAATTAATTTCCACGATTCTCAATATTGGTACCCCCCCCCCCCCCCCCCCCCCCCCGGCCCCTCAACCTGCAACTTTGTGCGACTTATGTTCAGTTTTAAACACTTCCCAAAATATTATCTGACTTTTCAAAATTGTTAGAGTTGATGGGCATGCTAGCTGAATGCTTGGATCGAGGCTTGAGCTTAAAATGTCAACAATTCAACATACCCACGAGCTATAGGAAATAGCCGTTCTGTAAACCCTTTATGGCTCTGACAAGAGGTAAATGTTCTAAATAAATGATAAGAATCTGTTCTGTGATAGGAGATTATAATATAGGAGGAGCATAATTTACAACTCAGTATCATTAGATGAGACATTTCACCATGACCTTAGAAGCCTTAACTTCTGAAATTACCCTGTGCTTTCCCTTTCAATCAATTTTGTCTAAAGATTGGAATTGTAATTGAGATTTGTTTGTTATGGCTTCTCTTCCTCCCAGGTGATGTGTATTCCTTAGCCTTACGGTCTCCGCCCAAGAACGGCCATTGAATTCTGCCCAAGAGAAACCGCTAAACCTGGTAAGTACTTAGTTAAATCTGTATGTCTGGTCATTATCCTTGCCTTTTTGGTCGTTATCCTTCTTGAAGAGCGTTGTACACCCGAGGTTACAAGCAATACCATGAATATTACCGAGCTATTTTTAGGATTTTGAGCGCCTTCTTCAACTCCTTGAAACCTTAGCCTGCGAATCTTGAGCCACTAGACTCAACCCTCCTGTTTAAAATCCGTGAATTTTCCCAGACCACGCACTGTTTGTTTACAGCTATTAATGGTCACTAAAAGGTTAATTTGTGCACTGGACCATGATATTTTGTGTACTTAAACTTTAAAAGCGTTTAGATGTAGAACGAAGTTCACATGGCGACTGGGAGGAAATGGGAGCCGTTAAACCGTTAGCAGGCACACAAGGCTAACTCTTATAAAGGGTGCATCATGAACTGGGACTGATTGCTTTGCTAATGACTTCTACCTGTGTACTTTGTATGTACATTTTATTGTGAACAGTTGCTGTTTTTCTCAGCCCAAGTCGTTGATTAAAACCTACATTTCTTCTAGCAACACCTGTAGTATAATACTCAATAGTAATTCGAACGTTCTAACCTGAGGAGCTGCCTGCATACCTCACATTGGCCGTTTACAGTTTAAAATTATATACCGCAGAACATGATGATAGCTGTATAAGTGAAACCTTTTTAACGTTATTTTGTTTTGTAAGTTTATTCCATTGCAATTGTATAAATTAGTTTATTGTATAAGTTGATTGATCAATATATCGAATACAGAATAATTCTCTAAGTGTATCAGGTAGATTGCACAGGACTAAATGATTACACCGTGGTCACCACCCCACCCACCATTGTCAGCAAATTATTGTACTTCATCTTAATTACCAGGTTGTACATTGCCTCAGGAAATCTTCCCAAACAGCCTAGTCGCACGGGGTTTGCCCTGGCTATTACCACTTTGTTACAAGTTTGATTACCTGTGGCCATGGGTAAATATACAAATTTTATATGGAGCTTGTTCGTTGCTCATTACCCGGTATAATGAATAACGAATCCAGCTCCATATAAAAGTGATCTCTCCATTTTGTGGCCCGTTGCTTTGGTCTGCCATTGTGCCAACTAGACACCTGCACCCGTCTATTGTCTGACCGTATTCTTAATTCTTATAGCTATAACTGATATTCTGAGCTGTATCGCTCTGAAAATAAACTTCCCGTCACAAACAACCATCATGATCAGTGTAACGTTTCCACTTTCCTTGAGATTATTATAAAGTAACACCTTGTCACCCTGCTCTCCGCCTGCTTCGTCTACTATAATATCAAATATACTGGTCTTATTCACATGAGAATGTCAATCAGCCAAGTAATTGCCTCGCCTAACTTTTGCTACCGGGGCCTCCTAGAATGTTGTTAGTCACCAGTGTTCGTTCCCATTATCTGCCTCCTTCTTTATCTGGCTCCTTATTCTCGTTATTCAGGAGTTGTGCTGAGTGAGTGAGTACTGTCTCTCACACAGAGAGAGAGGCTCACCCAGGAGTACCTAGTACATAATATGTAGGTTTTCTTGGATTCACGACTCTCCTCGCAGGTCTTCTAAGTACATTTTTGATCTTAATTAGACACTATATAACCTGAATTGTGCTCTCAGTGCAGCAATGTGCACGTGTTCAAGACCTGCATCATCTTTGTGTTCAGAGGTGGGCGGGGGATGCACCCAATCGTTAGCGCTATTAGGTTTATGACTTTATGAGGCATGCTTATATTCTATATGCCCTCCTTACAAGCAACCAATTAGAGAATTAGGTAGGGTATGGTACTCCCGTACAAACCAGAAACTCGAGCTTCTAGACTAGTGATGATCTATTACAATTCTAAGCGAGTACATATTAAAATTAAATGATTAAATGATATTGAAGTCCAGTGGCTGTGGAGGCCAGTCTATACCGAGGCTCCAGCTTCACTTCCCAACCCTCTCTAGCTCCACCGAGTACAGCCATTACTTAAGTTGTTAGTCACCGTGGCAACATCTACACAGCATCGAACTCATTACTATAGAATGTCCAGGAAGTTTAAAATACGCAATTATGCGTCCAGCCTTGGTCTTTGAGTGGAGTTGCCTTTTTCCGCCATAGTTCAGCCCGGTCATTTGCCAAGCTGAGGATCATGATGCTCTGCACACGCTCGGCAATTCGGCCTCAGACCTTGTTTCAAATCACGTTTAACCCTCATAATTAATGTTTCACTGGCAAGAGAGTTGGCCCACTTCCGGGACCCTACAATTACTGTCTCCAATTTGAAGGGTGAATGTGTTGACATTGTGTAATGTACATAATATTTGGGCTGTTCACTTTCCGCGTGTAGCCAGGTCGCGTGACCCCCACCTGACCTTTATTCTTTTCATTATATCTCACCCGAGCCCTAGTAACAGGCACACTTCCACCCAGTTGGCACTTGCAAGGCACAACCACTTTTGTTCACATATGTTAACCGGACTCATGTACAGTTGTGCAACTTGATTCTTGAAATTTCCTACCTCGTTTCGTAGCAAAGTCCTTTGTCTGGAGTAGTTAACGGAAAATTGTCGTTAGTAAACCGAGTAAGTTTGCTCTTATCTGTCTCTACAACAAGCGATTTTAACAATCCGTACTTATTATTACATTATTCTCGTGCAGAGTCAACCTGAAATGGGTATGAAATAATTTTCCAAAGTATTAATCGCTAACATCATGCCCTTGATTTCAATTTATCGTATGATTAAATTTACGTAATGGCGCATCATTTATGGCGCAACATTTTACAATATTATTAATGTCCTTAAATACTGGGGGGATACTGGGTCAGGTACCCATGATAAGATAATGCATTCTTGGTCAAGAAACTTTTTCGTTGTTGCTTGTGGATATGGCATGGGATATTTGTACTTTTGTAATAATCTTAGTGCCTAGCGTAAGATGTACGTATCGTCCTTACTTTATTTTATAGAAAGATTTACATAACTTTAGGGATGTGTCCCCTACATGAACAGCACATGTGCAAATTCACATACATACTACTGTCTCGTCAGTAGCATATTATGTGAGACGTGAGTGCAATCTAATTATGTCGTGTTATGACATTTAAATCGTGCGCTTCAAAAGGGTGGTCACGCCGGGATTAAGCTCTGGCAGGTATTTGTACACGACTTGCTCTTGCTCACTTTATCTAATATAATATAAGGCATAATTTAAATTAAGATTATGACCACGGCCACTATAATAGTTATGCTAATATTACCTGAGGACCTCACGCCTCGATGTTGCTAACTAAATGTGTCATACATCAATTTATCGCGCCACAGCATGTATCTCAAAATTCATTATTTCACTCCTCTCCAGAAATAAGCTTCGTCCGAAGTCTGCAGACTATTTTGATTTTTGTGTTGATAATTTAATCCATTGAAGGGGCATGGGCATCTTTAAAGGACGTCCGCAAGTTTTGTCCCATTTTGGATTGCAGCGAAAAAAGTAAATAAAAAATAATAACCCCAATTTTTCGGGCTTTGATATACCTAGTAGCTACCAGGAACCCATCAATTGATAAATATTGGGTGCATGGTGTTTCTCACCCGACAGTTATCAAATATTACATGTATTTAGCACTTAAATAAAAACCCCGATTTACAGGGGTTATAATATCCTCTCCCTGACAACCCTGGTTAATCGGGGGTATCAACGCACTTATCTCATGAACTCATTCCACTTCAAATTGAAGTTGTTTCAAAATCTCCGAGACATTCCACCTCTTAAGTAAATTATACTGACAATGACTGTAAGTCTGGGACGCAGGCCGTGATAAGTACTGTATTATTGACCGAAACACATGCCAGCCTATCATTAATTCAACCGAATGGTGCTGATAGTTTCCACAGACAATCCTAGTGTTGAAAGTTATTGTCACCGTAAAAACGAAAGTATCTTAAGACTAGGAGCTTTTTGATATAATTTTGTCGAACTTAGATCTTGAGCTGCAAATCTCAAATCTGGTAAATTGACTGAACCTATTAACGTTCATACAATATTCAGTTACAAATGTACCTTACCTTCAGTTAAAAAAGTACCTTAGCTTAAGGTAAAAGTTAAATCTTGTTCCTATCCATATTTTATGAAGCAATAATACCACTCTCGGTTCTCACTCTACCGCTGCAAATTGGTTATCACTGTGACAGTGTGACAATCTGCTATTGTCACAACATCTGTTTACAGAGATGTGACTAATAATATTGCTATTGGCTGAAAGTGAATATTATTCAAATATTTGGTCTGCTACTTAACTTGGCACCCACGCAACCATTCTCTGACTCACTGAAGAGACCACAGCAGAATGGAGCTCTATCTTAATATGTCCTTCGATTTCACATTCGTTGGTACTTGGTCTGCGACACTTACTCTGTACGGAGCATCCAGGGGCTTTAATATATTGTTCGATCAGCCGCACAGTAACGATACCCACCAGGTCACTATGCTCGTCATACTAAGTTAGTGAATGGAACTAGATTATTAGATTCTCGTTAGAAGGTAATTTCATCTTGATAAGCAGCGATTCAAACGTTAAATGATGACAATCATGATGATATTTTGTTTTTGTTAAATTAGGTACCTTACTCGGGATTATTATAACGGCCAGGTAGCGCAGTTAACGGCCAGGTAGCGCAGTTGGTTAGCCAGCTTTGCAATCGTGAGGTTGCGGGTTCAAATCCCACTGCCTGCCTGGTCGTGGGGTGAGTGTTGTTGACATTCAGCTTAGGATCGTGAGTGGTCTATGCAGCCCCCCGGTCTACTCAGCCGAATACTCGAGAAATCGGGTGTGAGGGTTAAATGAGGAGCTGCACATTGCAGCAAAGTCTCGGGCGAAGAAAGTATGGTACACACTACCTTAACCGTCACTGGCTAAAAACAAATCCTTCGGCTTCCTGTAATTGGCTGGTTGCACTTGTGTAACAATATGGCTGTTGGAATACTCCGAAGTAAAATA